CACACATACACACCCCCACACACACACACACCCCCACATACATACACACCCCCACACACCCAACTGGACACTACAGCCAATGCACAGATTTCACTGAGGCTAGTGCTTATTATTTATTAATTATATTAGAAAGTGATCATACTGTGCATCAAGACACTGAAGGAAATTTGATCGTTATAACTAAGTAAAAAGGTATGAGAAGATCCCAGAAAATGGCGAATCTCTTCCAGGTACGTTATCCTGTAAATTCTGCATGGGAGTTACCAGGAAAAGTAAGGAATTGGTGACAAACTCTGCCAATGGCTACCTGGTTTAACCCAACGAGATGCCGCTGAACAGGGGGGGCAGCCTAGAGCGAAGCTATGACAGACTCACTCTCCTGGGATTCAGTCCCATCACATGAGGAAACTCAGCATATGGACAGAAAAATAGCAATTTCACGGCCTGGCTTTGATGGTTGGGCGAGGGAGTCGACAACATGTCAACGCGCGACATGCATGTGGCGCTCCCTCTCGCACCAGCCGGCGGGCCAATCAGCTTCAAGGTCAGATTTCAAAAATAGGAGGAGCCATGAACAGTGGGGCCAGCAGAGCCAAAAACGCTAAAGTTAGCAGACTTTTTTAAACCAGGTGTCGGGGAGTCCCGGGTGCCTCTGACGGGGTTAACGAGTGTGACCACCTTCTCTAACAGCCCAATTGAGGAGGACGGAACGTTCCGAAAACCCTTCCAGCACTTCCCTCTGGCCCCTCCGCTCGGTGACAGCTCCAGCTGCCTTCGGTTGCACAACCATTGAGACACAGACAGGCGACTCCACTCTGAGGGACAGTTTGTGAACCATGAGGAACGTACCGGGAGAACAGGTCGATCTGCTATTCATAATGAATCCTGACAGGGGAGGTGTCGTGGATCCTGTTTCCAGATGTGCACCAAAGCAAGAAAACAGATTTAGCCTATTCCGGTTTGCTTCATTTGCTATTTTCTCAAATAGTGCCATTGTTGAGAAATCTAATCTGTTTCTTATTATATTATGTATTATTTGTCTTTCACTCAGCAGCTACATTATCAGGTACGGACTGCTTAGTAATGCCGACAGCCTGCTCCTCCAAACAGTGAACCATGTGACTTCGAGGTTCAGTTACTGTGTCATTTGGAGAGTGGTGCTTACATCTCAGAAACTGTCACTCTCCTGGTCTTTTCCTGCACTACAGCATCTAGATTTGACAAAAGACGGTGCCGTCGCCAAAAAAAGATTCATTCGGCAGTAGTTCTGAGGAAGGAAACATCTTGCAGATGAAACACAAGTTGAACGGCCAGACTTGTTAAAGCCAACAGGAAGGTTACAAGTGCAAAAATGTCAGGGGCCAAACTAAATAAGGAAAGTTTCTGACAGCTTGTTGAGTCCATGCCCTGAAGAATTCCAAGTATTCTTTAGGCTACTTGGTAGTAGGCAGATCTAACTAATATAAGTGAACTCCAAGTTGATGTTAGCAAAGTTGTACTTTCAAAGAAAAAAGTAAATAGAAAGATAAAAGCCTGTAAAATATGCTGGAGCCAGTTCGGATTTGCGAAGAGAATTTAGCCTTCTGGTGATGCAGCTTCTTTGTCGGACAGGGTTTCCGAACCCGGCCCTCAGAAACCCCCAAACGGTCCGCATTTCTGCTCCCTCCCTTGGGAAATACTGATGTAGCAGACCAGAGACCTACTTCCACGAAGTCTGGGTTTCAGGCCACCCAGCCCCCAGTGAAACCCCCAGTGCGATGAGGCCCCCAGTGCGATGATGCCCCCAGTGCGATGAGGCCCCCAGTGCGATGAGGCCCCCAGTGCGATGAGGCCCCCAGTACGATGAGGCCCCCAGTGCGATGAGGCCCCCAGTGCGATGAGGCCCCCAGTGCGATGAGACCACATCTGAGGGCTCTGCCCACCTCGTGAATATACACCGCAGCTGGTGTTATTAAACGACTCTGCGTCGTGGTTTATCATCTGCGAAAGTTGGAAGCTTGTAGACTGTTTTAATATCAAGCACTCCGTTGCGATTGGGCCAGAGAGAGTCTAAATCAGGAGCACAGCCATTCCGTGTGACAGTTTTCATTCACTCAACACTTCAGAACGACATTCTTAATGCTGCAGAACAATAAACATCCAGGCAGCTGCCGGTTTTCTGAACAACTCCCTTAAGTGTCACGTTAAAGGAACACCCTTTGGCAACAGCCGAGCTCAAATACACCCGGCTCCTCGTCTCGATATTTGCAGGAAAATAACTTCTTTCTTTTACTTCAAAATCTTAATTTCACCTGAAGAAGTGTCAAAAAGTTTAAAGGCATGAAAGTCCAGGAAACCGATTAAATACTTCACGGCATGTACATTTTATCAGTCCTACAACATCCAATATGACCAAATTTTAACAATTGCAAAACTCCAACCAAGTTAAAACATACAAGCGTAAGTGATACCTTCAACCAACACAATATAAGGATATTTTTTGAAAAAACAGCTGATTAAATATCCACAGAACACTGACAACTATTCAGAGATTTTTATAAATAAATATTTCATTACCAGACAATATTAATGTCATACTGATCTATATTCAGGAAAATGGAATCAGACATTTGCACAGGGCTACTGACCCAAATTCTCAGGCATGTTCATTGACTGAAAGAGATTCATAATGTAACAAAAATCTTTGCTGGAGAAGAGAAGCACAAATCAGTTGGACGGATGAAATGATTTAACGGGAGTGATGATGCTGTTGCAGCTGCTCTGTGATTGGCTTTTTGGAACAGGAAGAAAAATGTTCATTAGTATGCAAATGGAATTGTTACATAGGCCAATATGGGAACCTTCACTGAGTCTCTACAGAATATCCCAACTGCTGTTAATATCCATCCTTCCGTTATCCAGTGTAGGACAACAGTAAGTCAAGTGCCTCTCCTAGTAAGAGAACGATATGGGGCAGGGAGTAAGACAAGTAGGATGGCTGTCCTTTAGCCTTTAGAGGGAAATCAGGTACACACATGTACTACACAAATATAACATCAACAGCAACATGCTCGATGAAGGAGTAGGCAGAGGAAACCAAAAGGCGACATCCAGGAGTCGAGCCACATCCGGTCAGTGTGCCGTTGCTCGGAGGCAGGGCTAACTAGAGATGAATCGTATTTAAGCGGAGCAGCCAGTGTTGCTCTACTTCGATTCAGAGTCTATCTACTGAATTCGTGGGACTTGGTTCTATTTCGTTAATATTTGTCATTAACCCCGAAAAGGCTTCACAGTGAAATGCAGCTTCCCATAAACAGTCGCATACCCATCATTAGATTATGAGGTAAGTGATCTTCTGATTCCTCCATCATGTTCAGTCATTCAATTATATCTCCTGTCCTGTTTTCTTAGCCCCCGTAGGGAAACAGATGTTCAGTTATAATAACATATCTCTGTTCCCTGCCTCGAAAAAGCTTCAGTTAATAAAGTAAATTCAAGGCACCCAATCCACTAAGTTATTTTAGGCGTTTTCTCCACATTCGTCCTGACATGTTTTTCAATTGTAACATATACACCGCTTGATAAAGACCTTTGTTTCTGGACATAACATTTCCTCCCAAGACAATGTTTATCTTCTATGACTAAGCCAGGAGGGTGAGTGTGTGGCTCAGTAGGATAAGACTCTGTATTCTTAATCAGATGGTCATTAGTTCAAATCCCCCCCCCCAAAAAATATCATTCTGCTCTAATATCTTTATGTTTTCGGAGGAAGGCTGTTCAGAGCATTATCAGCATCCGACAACCAAGCAAGCGACTTCCAGTCGCTTATCCAGTACAGGGTCCTGGGAGGGTGACCGGGAAAAATTAGGCAAGGAAATCGGCAGGTTTTGCACCTTATATCTACAGTGTAACTAAGGTATTTTCACAGTGTTTACACCGGGGACAGTTCTGGGGGCAGAGGATATCTTAGTCAAAAAAGTGTCACACGTCACAGCACAGTGCTCAGAGTCGGTAAAAGTGACTGTGGAAAAAGAACCGAAGCTTCACTAAAATCATTTAGGACTTAAGCCCTGTAAGGCCGCCCTTGACACAGGCCGTGTTTACACAGTCATTAAACATGAAAAGCAGCTCAGCAACACAGATCTGTGGCATTCCTCAGAGCCAATAAGTCAGCACAAGAGTATAATCTTCTGTAACCACGGTGTCCAAGTCTGACACATTGCTAGGAAAATTAATTCTTTAGTTGTAATGGCGAACAGTAAGCTGTGGGAGTCAATGCTGAGAGGGGGAAAGCATGTGGTCTATCCAGAGGCCAGTCTAGACTGGGTGTAGCTAAAATAAAGCACAGGTGGGTGGTCCAGTCTGACCTGGTCCATGCAAACTTTGCTTCTGTGGTCAGGATAATGATATTTTTAAATGTATCTATTTTCGCAAACATTTTTGATTCACATTCAATGCTGAGTAGACTTCCAGAATATTCTAGAGCTTTGAGAACTGTCCAATAAAGTCTAGAGTTGGCCAGAATTTTCTATAACTTTCTGGAAGTTTTTAAAACTTTCTAGAATTTTCTGAGACTGCCCAGTAGCATCAATAGAAGTATAAAAGTGCGGGTGCCTGAAACAAACATTTCAGTTTATATTATTGCAAAGTGACATGATCGTGAATACCAATATTATTTCGGATGGCATCAAGAGGCTGCTTGCACCCAGTAGATGCATTTTGCTACATTTGTAGACAATTTATCAAGACAAGAGCGAAAAAGTACTCAGTGAAAGCCTCTGTTAAGATGTGCGAGGCTTACAAGGCATCGGGGATCAAGACCAGCCATGGGCATCTCATTTCACATGCGAACATTGCAAGAAGACTCTTGAAGGCTGGTATAGGGGAGAGAAAAGAGCAATGAAGTTTGCTATCCCAAGAATTTGGCGGGAACCAACTGACCACTCCAGCAACTGCTACTTCTGCATGGTGGACCCTTCAGAACGTCAAAGTGGCAAACAAGCATCTCCTGTCATGTATCCAGACATTCCTTCTTCCATCGCCCCGGTACCACACTGCCCTGAGCTCCCCATTCCCACCCCTCCGGAGAGGGATCAGCCATCTTCAGCAGAGAGCAGCCAGTCAGACGGTGAAGAAGATATTGCAGGTCACGATTTCACAGATATGGCTGAGGAGAGAAAGCCATACTTCCCCAACCAGAAAGACCTCAACGATCTGATCAGAGACCTTAGTCTTACAAAGTCCAATGCTGAGCTTCTGACATCCAGGCTCAAGAAGTGGAACTTGGTGGATGAAGATGTGCAAGTCACAAATCAGAGGAAGCGTCACAAACGTTTCTCCAACGACTTCAGTCACCAGGATGGGCTGTGCTTCTGCAGCAACGTGGCCGGTCTAATCGAGGCCATAGGAATCACCTGTAACCCAAGTGAATGACGCCTCTTCATAGACAGCCCATCCAGGAACCTCATAGACAGCTCATCCAGGAGCCTCATAGACAGCTCATCCAGGAGCCTCATAGACAGCTCATCCAGGAACCTCAAAGCTGTGCTGCTTCATAACGGGAACCAGTACCCGTCGCTCCCTGTGGCTCACTCTGTGCACCTGAAAGTGTCAAGACCAGTGTTACTGGTCTACACCAGTGTCAAGATGTTGCTGAGTTATTTGAAGTATGACGACTATGGTTGGGAGGTCATTGGAGACTTTAAAATGCTGGCATTCCTGATGGGCCTGCAAGGCAGCATCACAAAGTTTCCTTGTTTTCTTTGCCTCTGGGATACCAGGGGCACTCAGGCGCACTATCACAGAAGGGACTGGCCACAGCGGACCGAGTTCTCTGTGGGGTAGAACAATGTCAAGTGGAATCTGCTGGTAGACCCTCGGAAGGTGCTGATGCCACCACTGCGCATCAAGTTAGGCCTCATCAAACAATTTGTCACGGCTTTAGACAACGAGTCAGCAGCTTTCAAGTACCTCCAAGATCTCTTTCTAAAGCTGTCGGAGGCAAAGGTCAAAGCTGGTGTCTTCGTCGGACCACAGATAAAGAAGATCACAAAATGTGACGATTTAAGCAAGTTGCAGAACAGGAAGGAGACAGCAGCTTGGAGCAGGTTTGTTGCAGTGGTTCATGGATTCCTGGGCAATCACAAGGCTGAAGGAGAATTCAAGGAGAACACAGGAGCTTACTCAGAGGAGCGAGGCGAGCGTTTTCACCAGGATATAAAGAACTATGAACGCCATTATCAAGGACAATATAACGAAAACATGATGGGGGACTATATTTCACCAGCAAGGTGCCATTTCTGTCAGTTTGATCCATCAAGCTTGATTAGAGGATGGTGGTACTTTTGATCATTATTTACATCTGGCGACTCTTGCTTTCCATTGTGTCTGCTGTGCTGCTTTCAGTCCCCAGAGAATCACAAGAGGAGGTGAACTCAGTTCTGAGAAACAATACTGAGAGCCTTCAAAGGAAACATACATTTGGCAAGGAGCGTTTCTGTGAAAACAAGCACTACTATATTTCACAGATGATGTCAGCTCTGCCATCTTGTTTCACATATTGTTATCTCTCCTGTGGTAAGGTCGGGGTATGAGGGGGGTGGGGAGACACGTAGGGTCACCATACATCCGGGTTTTCCTGGACACGTCCTCTTTTTGGGCCCCTGTCTGGGCTTTCGGACGATTTTTCAAAAATCGCCAGTTTATCTTGGATTAGCGCTGCAACCCATATGACCCAGTGTTGCAAGTCACAGGGAAATACCAAGTGAAGGATAAGGCACTGATTTTCTATATATGGCAACCACTCAGCATCATCACACAGCATTTGCAAGGATCATGCGCATGTTTACTTCAAAAATTAAACGCTACACACATTCCTACGTGTCACGCTGCTCACGAGTGACATCAACTTCCGAAATGTTTCTCGAAGTTGACCTCACTTAAAAATTTCATATTTGGAACATTTGCTTTTTCCTCTCACCAAATATGGCAACCCTAGACATATAAGTAGCAAGCAAGAATCAATCACTCTGTCCTGTCTCAGTCCCAAATCCAAATATCGTGGCCCATCCTACTTGCCCAACCAAGAGGCCTGTGCTTTTATGGGTAAATTTACCCACAGTGACGTTCTTAGGCACCTACTGGAAACAAGTTTCTCCTCTTAACACATTTGCAATTCAAAGGAACTAAAACAGCATTAAAGGCAAAATCTGATTAGAAGCTGAAGCAAACTCTACGGACAGTATTTTATGTAGCAGAGGAAGCCAATCGAAGCACTTTGAGGGAAGATTAAAAGCAATTTGTATAAGCACTGAAAGTGAGAGAACGCTGATTATAACACCACCATGTTCATTAAAAAATGGATTTTTCAGTTCACGAGGAAGGGGTGCTTCCTTACCTTGGCAAAGCCCATTGCTCTCGCCAGCGGTGCCCTCCAGCTGATCTCTGGGCAGCACCTCCGCCTGCCTGTGCCCAGCGGCCCCCTTGTCAATAGATCCCCTGGAATGTGAACAGCGCGAGAGCTGTTAGCCGTCTCAGGGAAGCGCGGATGCTGCCCCATCTGGCCCAGGAGAGCTCCTGTCTGAACATTGTCATCTCTGTCACAGACGTTAGCAATTACATGCAAAAAACATTCACCGAAAGCATTATAATTTTCCTGCTTGAAGAATGCTTTGTAGTAGCAACACACAAGTCAACAGTCACGGCTCTCCCTGTCCACATGCTTCATAAACCGGTATGTTTCTAGTCTAGGTTTATCTGGATCGGCAAACCATTCATACCACCGGAACTGGAAATAAATGAGAGTTCCAGCAGAACCCAAGTCAGGTGGTTTCAGCAGTTATCTGAGGGCACCAACACTGAGACGACCAGCACCGTGAGTTCTGAGTGACGTGGGGACATGCAGTTTGTTCATCACGTAACTGAACCCCTTACCAGAAAAACCAAATTACGTACTTTTGCAGGGCACAGAATACCAATACCAGAAACTGTAGTGTATTTTACATAATTAGGACGAGTTTTGTTCATAAACTGTCGCTGTACATTATAAGAATTACGTCATTACGCAAAGTGTTCTGTCGAGAGAGTGATTGCAAAAGAAGAAAAGACCGTTAGCGCCATAGTGGTGAGTCCTGCATTCTTATTTAAACATAACCCAGAAACACACAGAAACCCTCTGCATTTTAATAGGCTTGTCTGCTGAGTGCAAGAATATACAGCAAGAACAAGGCACATTTGGCACTGAGAGCCAACCATGCTACTTCCACTCAGATCCAAAGCTCCCTAACAAGAAGCGACATGTTGCCAGTGAAGCGAAGAACATAAGACGAAATACCACCTGATTCAGAGGAGAACAAGACCGTCATTTTAGCAAAGCCTGCCATTTCCACCCAGATCCACACAGCTGTCCTTTTTGATCGACTTTTTCAGATCTTTTTTTGCAGAGAAATTTGCAATTGAGATTTATTCTCGTATTACTAAATGTTGAGGTATCTTGCATACTCACATCCCTTACGTCGGGGTCTTCATCGAACCCGAGATTGACCGCAGGCCGCCACGAAGCATGTGAACCGTAAGCTGAACTTCAGCCAAATACCTGAATTTCCACCACACAGGTCCGCCGTCAGGGCCTGACTGTACTCGTTCGGGGACATTTACGAAAAACACCCCTTGTTCCTCAACAGCAAATTCATCCAGCAGTGCGCAGAGCAGCCTACTCTACAGGTAATGCACTTCTGCCAGAAAGACGTGCCGTTTACCTGGCTCTGCGAGAGACTCGCTTGAACATACTGCCGGCATGGCATTAGGTTAATTCTCCATAGTTCATGGGACCCAGTCACCGCTAGCCTGTGCAGCGTTTATGTCCCGATTCCCCTTTTCCTCCTCGTCCTTTTTTTAGCACAGCATGTAAACACAGGATCCTCTTGCTGATGTAACTGGGATTAACATAAAAACAGTGTGCAGGGTTGGGTGTAACAATGGATATGATGTAACCTCATTAAGTAAGGTCAAAGGCGACAGGGTTCTGGGTAACCCAATAAATGCTGAACAAATATTATACGATGAAGATAACTAAGAACTCAGGGACAGATTAAAGAGAAGAAAAATAATGTTAAACTTCACAGCCGGTATTTTAAATCAAATGCTTAAAGAAACTTCCTAGTTACTGTGAATTAACGAAGATGCAGGGAGTGATTCTTCTACATAAAAGTGGAACGTGAACGAGACAGGAAAACATAATTTGAGGCATCCTGAGCTGGGATTCAAACATCTTCAGATGATTTAATTTCAGGTTCATGTTGAGAGAATAATTTATCATCGTCTGGCCCCAGGCATCATGATGTTGGAATGATTTCTCCTGAATTTATTAAACCTCTAATGTACTTTCAAAGTTTCAGATTGTTTCAACTGAACCCTTAAATATTATGAGAATGGAATTTACGGATCTAAAGTATTTTTGAATTAAATCTATAGTTCAGCACTTTTAATCTTTTGTTAAAACATACCAAACAACATTTTTTGGGCTATTGTGTCCTCGTCTCATCTTTCCCCTCATAAATGACCTCATCCCTTGATTACTGGTTCGTGAGCAGTGTGAAAATTGAAACCGGCACTTCAAGTGTACCTCATTACCAGTGCATACGCGTAATTACCACAATTCAAGTCTCCCATAGAGAAACGCGCATTTCTGTTTGCCTCCAGAATCACTCAGTAACACGTCATTTTCAGGCATTGGGAAATCTGGCCAATCCTACGGGGCTGCGAATCCAGCAGGGTAGGCTGTGACTGACGAGGGACGAGGAGGATCTCTATAATTTGCAGGAGGTTCGGTTGCACCGGAGGGCAGAGGCCGGGGGCAAAGGCGTGCATGCTATTCTTTTGCTGTATTCCCTGAATCTCAACATCATCAGCTTGTTCAAGCCTTAGGATACTCAATGCGATTGGTGTGTCAGGACGTACAACAGAGGTACACAATGGGCTCCACACAATCCAGCCAGGATCCGCTGACTTACCCTCCTGGAAGCGAATGGGGGACGTCATCTGTCAAGGGTGAGAAAAACATAGTAAATCACAAATATCACCATGCCTCTTGTAACTGGCATTCATTTATCAAGCTGCATTTTACCGTGTTTTTTGTGAGAGTTGTGCAATGCCTAGCTTTTCCTGAAGAAATGCTGTTACAAAAACCAGAGGCTGTCAAAGAAAACTGAAAAATGATTCCCCAACGATTCTGAATGCAAAACATTGACACAGAAAAAATAGCAGGTATAATATGCCTGCCAATGAAACAAAACTCTGTTTGTTTCCAAAGACTAGCCATCAAAATAAACCAACTCAGAATACATTTCAGTGACTGTTTTTTTTTTTTATTTGCTTGATACAATCCAGCTGCTTGCCTGCTGGGACTGGGGAGGGAAAGCAGGGCTTAACGGAGGCCTGATATCAGGCAGTGGCGAGGCAGTAGGCCACCACTGCGTAACTGCTTTTTGGCAGCAGAGAGAGCCAGTCACCTCTGGCCGGACTGCACAGCACTGCCGTGGGGCTCCTCGGAAAAATCTTATAGCCCCGGTTGGCACGTGCTCCAGGTTTCCTAGGAAACCGATTAATAACTCAACACGGTAGTCAACTCTCCCTCTCCCCCCTCGTACTTTTACATTAGATTTACTTTTACAGTAAGGGTATCTGTTCCAGCTGTAGGCGCAGTGACAGTTTCAGAGCAAATTCAAATGATGTATGTGCACTGCAACTGCAAACCGTATGCAGTATGTTTGACTGTCATCCCCAGACTTGTTTTGAAGTCTGACTTCTAATGCTGTAGCATGAAGCGCTGCTGCAGTGAAAACAAGGCTTCTGCAGACAAGACCTTAGCAGTGATGAGTTCTTACCTGACGTCTCAGTGCCAGGACAGTCTCCTGTGTTACAGTCTTCCTTGCCAGCAGGGGGTGCAATATTTCTGTCCTGCTCTGTTTTTTTTGAGGGTAATCTAATAGTAGATTCTTCAGGGGGTGCCACTGCTCCAACACTCAAAGAAGATGCCCTTTTCCCCACTGCGTTTGTCCTAGTTGTCTCATCAGTCAGTGCACTGATACAGTCCTTAGAATAGACATCTCCGTTGCTATTATCAAATTTGAATCGTTCTCCTTGTTCTTCCTCCTCTTCCTCCCCACCCTCCTCCTCCTTCTGTTGTGGGGTAGACTGTCTGGAGGACATGGAGCCTGGAACAAAGCCATTAAGATCATTGGCTGACGTCAGAAAAACACACATCTGTGAAGAGCTCTATCTGGACGATGATAATGTTCCACAATGAGGCTATTTTGCCCAGAATAATGGATAATGGACCGATCCACAGAGCATCCGCAGCACCAGGACTTCAGAGGTGGATAGTTCAGCTCCAGAAAGTAAAAGTCCAGACCAGGATTTTGTTTCAACCAACCAGTTGGATACTCTGTGACTGTGACTCTTTATGCTCAACTGGATGGTTCTTGGTCTGGACTTTTTCTCTCTAGACCTGAATTACCCACCTATGCTTAGCAAACATACCCTACCAACACCTGTAGTCACACAAAGGACAATTTCAGAGAGCAACGGAAAGTCTGAACACTGGAAGCAGTCACTGAAATTATTTTTATTTACCTTAAAAAATCATTTTGGGGGAAATAGTTCTATCCAGCAGCTTGAGCCAAATAAGTTTTGGGCAGGATGAGTTTACAGCTTTGGGAGACTGTGTATTCAGGAACGGCCTCTGCTTTACATGACAAAACTGCATATAAACACATTAGAGCCAAAGTCGTTTTATTTGTGAAAGACCAGTGGTTGCTTTCTAGAGCCTTCAGATAAATGCAGTTAAACCTTGCAGTTATACATAAAATTCATGACAAAGTAGACAAAGAGCAGGTTGAGTCCCGTTTGATGAAAAGATAAATGCGCATCCCATTGAAAAAGGGAGTGTCACCATGAGGGGGCCGGCAGCATGTCACTGGAGGACGGCCCCCTCAGCTTACTGGGACAGTAGCCCCTAACCCCCCCCCCGTAGTCACAGTAGGCCATGATAATGTGCTTCCAGCCAAGATGGATTGTTTCCAGTTCCTGTCAGCCTGGGAGTTTCCACACAACCACCCCCCCCCCCACAAACCAAAAGCCCCTCTACAGCTTGCACAGACTTCACAGACATGGATCTCTGAGATTGTCTGTAGTGTGACTACAGTTTTTGGTACGGCATGTGTGGTGGCCCCAGGCTATGAGGACAGTCTGTGGATAAGTTCATCCGCGCCTTATTCAGTGGACAAAATAGCTTCATTGTGTGACGGTGTCATAGTTCGATAGAGTCCTTCACAGCTGTGTGTTTTTCTGACATCGACCAATGACCTTACTGCTCTTGGATTTATATATATATATAAAACACATGAGGAAGATAAACTGAACATGTAATGCACCATGGTCTGGATTAAAGGGTTCTTCTATGTCGTCTCAGGGAGGTTCTCCAAAGTGATAAACAGGCCAAGTGGTAAATGGTAACGCGGATTAATCTATATGGATATCCCCAGAACCTTACTATTGTTCCCCAGTCTGAAGTAGCATTTCTCAATCCAGTCCAGAGGGGCCCCCAGACAATCCACATTTTTGCTCCCTCCCAGGAATTCTGTGCTCCTCATTCTTTGGTTTAGATGTTTTGGGAGCAGGTTGGCAGCAAGAGAAGGGCCTAGTGACCAGCTCTCTCTGACTGTGTCCTAGACAGTAGGTGAAGAATCTGCTTTGGTTTTCTCAGAGTCTCTCTCTCGTGTCAAACCCCAGTCACCATCATGATGGACATTCCGACTAGAAAACGACACGGGGGGATGATTTCACCGAGGTCTCCTTGCCTGCTAGTTGCCTTCGCTGTAAAATGTTAATGTCGCTGCTTCCTCATTAAACAAGATTGTTATTTTTGTTCAGGGGAGGAACCCCTGGAAGGAGGAATAATATTAAAACTGGCTACAGAGAAGCAGACTGCTGCATCATCAAAGATAAAAATCGAAAGAACGGGAAAATAGCAAAATTACGCCTCTTGTCCGGATACCAGCCACACCAAAACAAGTTTGCCCCTCATTGGGGGTGGGAAGTGTCTATTTAAGGTTACACCAAAACCCAGAGCCAGTTCTATTGCCAGTTTCTATTTTCCAGAACTGCTACATGCTGAATATTGAAGCTGTCAGTCCTGGTTTCAGTCCATTTCTAAGGTCTGTTAAAACAGTGTGGCTCATGAAGCCAAGAGCAGTAAGGTCATTGGTCGATGTCAGAAAAACACACAGCTGTGAAGGACTCTATTGAACTATGACACCGTTAGACAATGAGGCTATTTTGTCCACTGAATAAGGCGCGGATGAACTTATCCACAGACTGTCCTCACAGCCTGGGGCCACCACACATGCCGTACCAAAAACTGTAGTCACACTAGACAATTTCAGAGATCCATGGAAAGTCTGAGCACTGGCAAACAGTCACTGAAATTGCTGCTGTTTAGGGGAAATATTTAAACCCAACCATTTAAGCCAAAGCCATCTTGGGACAGGATTAGCTTTCAGCATTGGGAAATGGTTTATTCAATAAAACCCTCTGATTCACACGAAAAATAACTGCTGCTTATAAACATATTACACCCAAAGTAGTTAAGTTGTTTTATTTCTTAAAGAATGTTGGCTTGCTGTCCAGAGCTGTTACACACAGTGCTGTGACAAAGTTTTTGTTTGGCTCCGAATTTCCTCTATTTTTTCTTATTCGTTAAGACTTCAGAAATTTCTTTTGTCCGAGGCATGTGCTGAAATTGTTCTGTTTAAGTGATGGGTTGATTCAACAGGGCTGGCAGCAATCAAACTTGGGTTTGTCTCCTTTAATTTAACACATTGTCATTTACAATCTGTTCAGTGGTTGATTGAATGATTGAGGGCAATTACTTTGTCACATGGGTGATATGGACGTTGGCAAATTTTTTCCCTTCATTTAAAAATTTTGCTTTGTTCACTCGGGTTGTCCTTTGTATCCAAAATTTGTCTGGAGATCAGAAAGTGTTTTATGAAAAATACTTTGTCATGGCACTGCAAATGCAGTTAACCCTTGCAGTTACAAAAAGTTCTTGTCAAGATTAAAAATAGTTAAGTCAGCAGTTTTTTTTATTTGACATTTATTTTTCAGAACAACTACAGCACTGGAAAAAAAATTAGGAGATCACTCCATATTTTTAAGAAATCGGCATTGTTAAATTCTGGTTTAATCCTGGTTCTGCTAGCAGAAGGCTACACTGCGATGCTTCCAGGCTCAAAATTTCTAAGACGTACATAAGAACAAGGTGAAACAGGAGACACTGGGAACGACCAGAAACCAGCCAGGTAGAGGGTGGAAGTGACATTCTAATGCCAGAGATGACTGTCAACTTATCTGACAGTTTCTCATGAATCGTAGGATGACATCAAGTGACCTTCAAAAGGAATGGGAAACATTAAGTGCAGGTGTGAAGTGCACTGCTAGGACAGTTCATATCAGGTCCTAGAAGCAGGACTGAAGTCCCACAAAGCAGGGAAGAAGCCCTTCATTAATGACAAACAGGGAAGAACCAGGCTGCAGTTTGCAAAAAATAAAATATATTATTCACAGATGCTCACCCATAAATTGAGAAATGACTGAAACAAAAAATTGTGCTGTGGTCTCTTAATTTTTTAAGAATCTCCTCCACCCAGGAAACACCATGTTTCAAAGTTCAGAATGGCCAGATCCCGCTAATGGAAATGTTTCGAATGAAAATCAGGAGACACTCAGACTTTTAGGAAGCAAGTTCAAAGATTATCCATAAAGTTTCCATGCTGATGCTAACAGCCTGCAGGGACTCGAAGTATATATCAGCCAGAAAATGTACTCCCCCCCCTCAATGAGGAATAAAAAAATAAACATGAGAGATGGAGAAGAAAAGGCGGTGGACAGAGCTCTCGGGGTCAGTCTAGTCTGGGAGGGGGGGGAGGGGGCTGGTGACATATTCATATTCACTTCCAGGACATGAATCCACATGTTCTGTAAAAAACACTATTATTAGTACAGTGTCCAATATTAATGTAGGCTTGTATTTCTGCTGAGTCTACAAATAGAACAAACGAAAACTTGCAGAAGTCTGACTGCAGGTATCCTAGAATGCTTCATATATCCCATCATGCTCTCTGTTGAGACACAAAGACAGGTAAGAGCAGAACTTTGAATCTGAGGAGAGGGTCAACCATTAATCCATTTTCGTGGAAGTTAAGGACCTTGCTCAAGGGCCCAATGGCAATTCAGCCAAGCACAGGATTCAAACCAGTTTCCTTTCATTCACAAGTCCAGGGATCTAACCGTCAGAAGAAGTCTGACTCAGTTAGACCTTCTCAATACTGAGTCTTCAGAGATTTGAGTCGCTGCATTGTACCTAAATGGAGATCTTCAGCAGTATGAGGGTTTACACTGAACTGTTATATGTATGTGCTGCAGTTACGGCAACTTACTTACCCTCATGCTCCTCCCTCCCCCCTCCCCCCACCCCATCTGTCCAGGAACAGGGACTGCCACCAGGATGCCTTTCCCGTGAACCAGCCAGACCTCGCCGCCGCTCCCCCCGGCACGGGGCCGGATCCGTCTGCACGGCTTTAGCAGATTTGGAGGGGGGTGCGACGGCAATTGAATTACTTGTCAAGGATTCCCCCCTTCAAAAGCAGGATTGCAAATGTCATGGTGGGTCTTGCCCAGAGAAGAGAAAGGGGATTACTGTACTCTAAAAGCCTCCGTGCCCCTTTTAAGTCCAGAGGCTCAGAAAAGGACAGGCTCGGGGTGGGGGGGGGGGGGGTTTGACAACAGCCGTAGGATTGTCTGGCTTCTCTAGGGGATGGTTTTTGACACCAGCTACACGCAAATATGGGCCGAGCGTCTGCAGGCAGGCCTACCAGTACCAGTCCTGTCAGCCGGCCGTCCCTCAGGGATCGTACACACAGCCTCCGCCCCCCACCGATACAAACCAACAGGATGCTTGTAATAAATATAAATTCCTTTCAATTTTTGTTCATTATGGGTCACCCCCCTTTGCATATCAATGACCTCTGTACGGCAGGCGTTTCCCTATTTCGATCTCATTCTGGAACGTGCTGGTAAACAGCTCACATCCTGTTATGTGTTTATTCGCACGGAGTCGCATTGCCCCTAGGGAGAGCCTTCCTCTGCCTTCCCCAAAAAATTCGAAGCACACGGAAGTATTGACCGTTGCCGTGGAGACAGACTCACTTTCACTACGCAGTGAGTGCGCGTGTAGGTGAGGCCCGATTTACCCGCGTCTCTCTAAGTTCGCCTCGTCCTGCCGCGGTACCGAGGTGGCTGCTAGCCTCACTAAGCGCATTAGAGCGCTGCACCACCAGCTAAGAGTGACTTTATGTGAAGAAAACTGCAATGAGAACTCAGCGTATCTCTACTCCTGTCTGCACGCAGAGCCAGGAGTGCTGATACGTCTGGTTATTGCTACTCCATAAAAGTAGGAGATGTGATTAAGTTGCCCGTATTGTGTGATTATGGGTGTGACCGTATGTGCCCTGTAATGGATCAGCATCCTGTTCAGGGTGCCCTGTTGGTCGTAGGATAGGCCCCAGGCTCACTGTAACCCTGTACCGCACAATGCCAAATGCCAAGCACCATTCCATTCACTCAGGTGTCAAGTGGCACATCTATTACGGAGATTAAGGTGGAGATGAATGGCTGAATGTTTGTGATGTCTGGGTTCCGGTTTTCACTTGCCAGTGGCAGTAGGCAAGCGTTCCAGAACAAGGGGGAGGGGGGCTGGAGCAGCTTTAAAATAGGAGTTCCAGTCACCCCATCAGAAGAAAGCAAAACTTTACCGAGGACCGGGAAACTGATCAAATGTGAAAACCGACTCTCCAAGCCTCTACACTGAAATCCAGCATTGGCACTTTGTTATCCTGCCTCTCGCATGTCCCCAGTCTCCAGAAGTGTTTCCCTAGACAGACAGCAGTGTGAACAAGAACTGGGGGTGCGATCCACGTTTCACCACCTGGAGCTGCATCAACTTCCTATCCCCTCAGGAGAAGCGTATCCTCCGTCACGTTTACCGCTACGAGTGAGGGAGAGGAGCGCCGGCCACCAGACCCAGCCCAAGCAGGACATCTCCATGCAGGCCACCTCAGTGTCCCCCGCTCACGCTTTAAGAGCTTTGGTGAGGCGGCAGGCTGCCATTCAGGTACAGCTGTCCCACACGAGATGAAATTACAGGGAGAGAAATGTATTCAAGGATCAGAGTCTGAACAGCCTGACCAGAGGAGTCACATGCCAAAATCAAAAGTGGGGTCCCGGTGGCACACAGAGAACAGCACAGGGTGACCTCCTCCCTCATCAACCCCCCATGCCCTTTTGACTCTAGCCAAAAAGAAGCCAGCCCTGTTTAGGGTGGGATTCCAATGGAGAGGCAGACAGAATGAAAAATGGCTTTGAATAAATAGCACTTACCTCCTGGTTCTTTGAGTCGTTTTGCCCCCCTCCGACTTTATTCCCAGAAGCCCCCACTCTCTGTGCACCTCCTGCATGTGAAACAGAGGGACTCCAGGAAGTAGACCTCCCTCCCGTGACCCTAGACCCCTCCCACGCGGGACACCGGAGACAGCAGCAGGTTCTCCCCCATTCACTCCCCCACGAGAAAACTTCCCGGATCGGCTCACAGGCGTCAGCCGCTCCCCACAGAAAAAGAAACTCGCTCTGCCTCAAACTGCTCGCTTTCTCTCCTTCACCCTGCTGTAACACCCCCCACAATCTGACTCTCCAGCCAATAGCGTCACTCTGTCCCGGCGTCCCCGCCCATTACAGCAGTGGAATGAATCGGGGGGGCAAATGCAAACAGAGAGGGTGGGAATGGGAGCAGAGTGGAATGGTGAGAGTTTGGTTGCAGCTGACCGACAATGAGAAATCTGGGATCTGTCCATAGGCATTAAAGAGCTATAATAACTATATTTTTAAAAACTAGTCTTTAATATCCCCCTTGACTTTTTAAATAAACTCTTTACATTAAAAATATATATTATACATTGAATCCCAACTTCACTAAGAAATTCTCACAGCTGAACAACGGGGATTTTAAAATATTATATTTAGTTTAGGTGATAATTCACACAGTTTTTAAGGTACATTAAAAAGTAGCGTCTTAACGTTTGTGTTACTTGCTGAATATGTGTTTGTGGCACTGGAGCATGCTGGGAAATTATAAATAGCCCGTTTGTGTCATTGCTGGTACATGGTGTGTTCCCGACTCTCTTTTGTGCCTTTGCCAGTGTCCTGCGTGAATCCTGTCCGATCCTGTGTAATTAACCATTGTATAACCTTTGTGCCTTACTATCCGGAGTCAGACTTCACTGTGCTTAGGGGCTGTTAACTGGTTTCGGGTTGTTTGATGCGTGCATTAGGGTGTGTAAGGGTGTAAAGAAAGAGTATTCTGTCTTCTTAAAGCAAGCGTTATCTTTTATTACCGCTGCTGCAATACCTCGGTCTGCAAGTTAATGCGTGTTTTATTTTGCATGTTTTTAATGCGAGAATTAGGCAAAAAAAGTTATGTATTACCTATTGAGGGGTTAATCATATCATAATTTACTTACTAATTCTAATAATATGTCTAACATAATGTAGACATCAGATTTGGGAACTGACGGTACGCCAGCAGGTCAGGACGACCTGGCACGAGACACGAGGAAAACAGGAACCCACCATAGAACGGATACTTATTTTTGCTTATGCTTAACAAAAGAAGGAAACACGTACTTACTGATCAATTAGGAACATGTACTCACTGGCTAACCAGAGCGAATGTCAAGATGTGTTGTCACGCGAAGGGAAAATTACCGAGAAGGGGGGCGACACCCCAGAAGGCCTATAAAGGGACAGCCCCGATATTTATGGATTGATGAGCTGCTTCCTGTACATGCTGAATGTATGTCAGATGGTTGCTCCCGGATTGCAGTCTGTCAGAGAATAAACTGGTGACTTGCAACTACTCCTCAACTGTGCAGTGAATCTCTTCTCATCAACGGACTCGGCGGAGCTCAGACTCCAACACTATCAAGTTTATATATGTGTTACCAGTCATATTCCATTTATTCTACATAGCATTTGTAGACTTTGTGCTCAGGTTATGTTTTTTATTGCAAGTTGTACTACTAACTACCGATTTTATTCATTCACAATAGTGGCTGACAGCGCCAATGCATGACTGACGATTGCGTCAATTCCACCGCGCCAATTGTACGCCTGAAGCGCCCCCTAGCGGAAATGGTCCAGCCAGTGCACATTAGTCCCTGTTAGATCGATTGCTGATTAGTTTTGATGTCGGTGGAAATGTGCCTCATTTTCTTCGGTGAACGTCAACATTTTGCAAAAGGACGCATATTCGAAACTAAATGCGAGACTAATTTTTTAACAGATAGCAGTTTTAAAGTGTATATAAAGCGAATCGTTCTTTTTTAAAGATTGAATCATGAAACACGTAAAAACGGCCAAAATGGGGATGAAAGCCAGTCACGCTTGATCATCATTTTCCAAATGTGCCGCACGGTCACAGGAAGCTTTAGTGGGGGGAATTTCCCACAATTTTTAACAGTTAAAGGCACACCCCAAACACAACAGTAGTAGGCCCATTAGTCATAAAACTTTAACATACAATAACCACAATTTTTCCAGAGGCATTTTGAATATACAATGATGAGCATCGTTGCCAGTTTTTTTCCCCTCACAAACACAGAACTTCCGTTTCTTACTGAGAGGATTTATTAAAACACATTAAACAAATACACTGAATACAAAGTTACCCCTCGTTGCTTTCTTTCAGATACCTCCCTCTGCACCATAATACTGTCTGATCATCAAAACGGCTTCTGTCCTTTTATATAACACCCCCCCCCCTACCGCCACCCCCAACAAAGATTTCCCCCTTCGTACAAAACATTTCACATGCTTCGCATACATTTCTACAAAGTTAACCAGCGCGGTAGCTTTTGAAGCCTTCCTTATTAACATGTATACTGTATATATACTTGTATTTATATTTTATTTATAGTAATTATACTGAAGCCTTTTTTTCTCATATATTCAATACATTCTTGGTTGACTTCAGTTTGATTGCATTTGATTCTTTCACCGTATTCATGTAGATCCATCTCTCTGGCACGAAGAGAGAGAAAAAGAGGGGAAAAATTAAATGAGCTAAACCCATTTTTAAAGAAGCTGCTTTGCTTCGCCTCGGTCTCTGTAACCGTGAAATGCGAGCCGTCCCGACGCAGCGACCTCTTACTCAACAAGAAGAGAGACGACATTAAAAATAAAATTAATTAAAATGAGCACTGGGCGGCTTGGCGCCCCAAGAGACGGCGCTACCTTTCGGGAACTCCGTCTTAACCAAGCGACCCACCCACCCACGATTAATTCACAGCAGCCCCCGTGGGAATAATCCCTTACCGGGAGGTCCCGTGGAAACAGAAACGGCAGACACAGATACCAAAAGACAGTATTAACACCACTTTCATTCATTATCTGAAAATGTTCTTATAACCACAAATAACAACGATAATAAAAACAATAGGGATCCAGCACCTAAGACCGCTTGGACCAATAATAATAATAATAATAATAATAATAATAATAATAATAATAATAATAATGCCTTCAAAACCTCTTCGAAAAAAAAGAGTAGTTAGGGAATCGCATTCGAAGCTTGCAACATGATATTAAATACACAGTCGTAAAATGAGAGTATGATCAAGTTCCATTCCAGACAATAATTTAAAAAACAGCTTCATTCTGGATCACCTATCCAGACAGAAAGCGTAAGTGATACTGAGCCTGTTATTTCACACGTGTTGCTTCAGCTTGATGAATACTTCAGTTCAAGGTTTAAATATTTGGGGACAAAAGGAAAAATCCAATTAAATTCTCATACATCCAACAATAAATAGAACACACGGGGCTGACAAAAAAGAGGGGATGAAGACAGATCAAACACAAGGGCTTAACAGAGAACAATCACACTGGTTATAACAGAGAAAAAACAGACAAATGAGTTTAACAAACGTTTAAACAAAAAGAATATACACACAGGTTTAACAGAAAACATACAGACAGGGGTAACAATGACAGGCTTAACGGATCATACACAGATTTAAAATCAGGGGAAACGGAGACAATACACAGGTTTAACAGAGAGATGCAGCAGCTACACACACAGGCTAGCAAAGAGAACCACACAGAGGATTAAAACAGATGACAAGCTGATTCCTGTTTAGTGGTACTGAACACTTTGTCAAAAAAATTGACTCTGGGAAAGCTGTTAATTAAGGACTAACATGAAAACTTTGATCCCAGAGATAATCTGATGGGTCTTTCACTATGATACTGTCGCTCAGATAAAGGTGGGTAGGGGCCCGGAAAGATAGCACAGTGTATAACACAAACAACCCTAACCCTCCATAGTGCATTGGCTGGTCGCCCCCCCCCCAAGATTAGAGTCAGGGGGGAAGTTTTGGGAACAGTTTCAGACATTCAAGCACAAGAAAAAAAAAAAAGAAAAGTCTGTGTACCACAAACCCGACCACATATCCTACTAACAAACGCTGCACGTTCCAGAACATCGCAGAATATCCGTCAATTCCGAACCCAGTGTGATGAAGCCTCGTTTACCTCTCTGCGTCTGCTGCGCACGGCAGGCCGACGGTAACATCATGCACTCAAAATATATATACAGATTACTCTCGTCTCCCTTTCAGTTTTACACCTTCCTGCCACAATGTAATTAAAATGCCAAACGTACTAATTAATGACGGGGTGAGGGAGGGGAGTGCTTTGCACAGCCCCTTTGCAGCTGCAGTCACCCCGAAACCTATGGAGGATCTATGCACATGAGGAGGGGGGCGGGGTGGGGGGGTGGCGGCGCAGGGTCACACAGAGTGTTCTCATGAGACTGATGAGGGGCCTACAAGGGGGCAAGTTCCAGTGAAGGTGCGGAGATCTGTCTGGTTGTCAAGAGTTTCGGGTCAGGTGGCAGCAAAATGAAAGGTTCCTCTGAAGATGGAGCACTGCTACGACGAGGCATTGAGTCCATTGGCTTCCTGTCATCCCTTCTTAGCATCTTGAAGCGAAGAAGAGAAAAATAAAACACAAACACATAAGCTGCTTCCTCGGGGAAGATGCTCTTCTGTCCAGGCCCCGCCTCCCTCCAGGCCCCGCCTCCCTCCAGGCCCCGCCTCCCTCCAAGTCCCGCCTCCCACCAGACCCCGCCTCCCAAAAACAGAATCGGGAAAATAAAGTCAAGGAGCAGAAGAAGAAGCATGTGCCATGGCAGAGTGACGCTGAGGAGGACCCCAAAGAGGCCGGTGCTGGTTGGTGTCGTTCGGCCCCTGAGCAGCTGGGTCAGTCCTCAATGCAGATGACATCACTGGCCTTCCCCATCTTCAGGTCAGGGGTCACCACGTCCCGCAGGCTGTCGCCTGGCTTCTTGTCTAGCTGGCTGGGAGGAGGGGGGCCGTTGGTCGACACTGGGCAGGAGAAAAAAAATAGAATGAGGGGCCGGACACTAAACATACTATAGGCCCACAGAAGGTGTTTGTCTGATCTTTTGCATGTTCTTCAGGAACTTCATCACCAATGCCCTTGAATATCATCAGTGGAGATGCAAACTGTATTTCTGGGTCAGCTCCATAGGGGAGGAGGGGGGGCAAAACAAACTGCTTGGGGACAAAGGCCAGTCACTCATTACACCGTAGTGATTTGGTGAGCACATTTTAGAATGTAACTAATATGTAAGCAGTATGAAGGTTTCTCCAAGAAGCTGACACCTGGTGAACAACTGCAAATACTGCTGGACCTCAACCAGTTATAAAATAAACACAGCAAATCACCACCAACGACTCTTACCGCTGACATAGGGTCCTAGGGGCATTTGGCTGTAGTTGACCATAGCGCCCCCTCCTGGGCCACGGAGACCACTGGCAAAGCCAGTGCTGTACATCTGCGCACAGCTGAAGGAGCCCTGGGGAAAAGGCTGGGGACAGGAGACAGCTGTGAGATGTCACACCTGCACAGACTCCTGAAGTACCTTAGAGCACCTCTGTCCTTAGACCAGGGGTTAGTCCCTTCAGTCCCGCAGAAGGTCATTGTCTACCTTTAATTAGCATCAGCTTCGCAAGTCAGGTGACCTAACTGCAGCTGCGGAAAGCTGGGGATTCAGACCCCAAGAGGAGTAGTTTAAATTAGCTATTGCCACAGGTTAATATGCAAAGACATAATAAACCCATTAAGAAAAATGACACTCGTCTGAACAGTCGTTCCCAGCCGTAACTCCTCCGCGCAAGTAGGGGGCACTGTGAGTGGCCGGACCTGCTGGGGCGGCGGCTCATTGCCGCGGCTGGTGAGGCGGCTGAGGATGCTCCTCTCCGACATCTGCAGGCGTGCGGAGACGGGCGGGATGCGCGACAGCATGGAGGGCAGCCGCGTCACATCCGCCTTCATGTCGCTCAACAGCTCCTCCAGCTGGTTCAGCACTGCAATGGCAGCAGAGTGGAAATGGGGCAGCGTTAGCAGCCCGGGCACCGCAGGCAGCCAGCAGACAAAGACGCGGGACTCGCCCCCACCTTTGTGCAGCACGGCGTTGGCCGGCTTGTTTCCCGCCAGCGACTCCTTGCTCAGGTGCTGGTGCGACTCGGCCAGGCACTCGACCTCGGCGAAGCGCGTGTTCAGCGCCATGGCGGGGTGCACGGGGTCCTGCGTCATGTTCAGGTAGGCCGCCCGCCGCAGCTGCTCCTCGATCACCAGCGCCTGCTCCAGAAGCTGCCGGTGGGCGGCGTCACACATTTAATCACTTATAACAAAATTCATACATTTACCCAACTGGAAATTTTTACTGTAGCTATTTAGAAGAACCTCTCGAAGGTGCAGCAGAAGGAATCTTGTGGCCTATTAATCACCCCCCCCACAAGAATGTAAATCTATAAAATAGATATTTTATATGTAGGACCCACCCACCTTGAACCGACGTGCCAGGAACTTGTTCTTCATTTCCAGGTAGTTGCCCTTGTGCATCTCGGTCTTGAAGGGCTCGTTGAGGATGGCGTAGCGAGGGTCATTCTGGATGTCCTGCCAGCGGGCATAGCCGTGTCTGAGGGTGGCCTTGGTCAAGGACAAGCAGATGGGGTACCGTCACGGCGCGTGCTGCACGCATCTCCCTTCACCTGCCACACCATCATCTGAATCACGGAAGGTCCACTGAGTTGAAAACAGAAGACTTTTATTGTAGTGGTTTAGATACCAGTGGATGAGTTTGATTTAGTTACAGAGGGAAAATTCTCTTCAGCTGATAATACATTCACGCCCCCCACCCCCCGGACTGTTGCCCCTCCTTCAGCCTGTATCTTCATTTCATCAGCCAAGCTGACTAGAAACCTAAGAAACCTAAGGTCTGGACAGGTGAAGTGGGCGGCAGCCCGACATGTCCCGCCCTGGCCAGCCGCAGCACAGGAAGGATACGTGACAATGCCAGCCAGCAGCCAGTAGTCGTGCCGGCGGTGCCAGATATCGTACATCTTGCCCGAGGTCATGGCAGCACGCTCCTCATTCTGCCACAATGTGTGAAGCTCTGGAAAAAAAATCAGCGAGTTCAAAAGACACACACGCGATGGCAGCGAATCACATGTTAAGCAGGAAGGCCACACCCACATACACAAAGGCCACACCCCCATACACAAAGGCCACACCCCCATACACAAAGGCCACACCCCCATACACAAAGGCCACACCCCCATACACAAAGGCCACACCCACATGTACCTAACTAGACAAACCATTATTGAGGAATAGGGGACAAATGAAGGTTATTCTTAAATATTTAATGACAAGCTTTTCATTTTGTAGCTTTATCAGAAACATTTAAAAAAAAAATATTAGAGAGGAAAGAAATTAGTTTAAAACCATTGGGAACCAGTAACGTTATGCATAGAAAGTGAGACAACACCAGGTTAGAGGATAAGAGGAGGAATTCCTAGGAATAGGAAAATATATCTTAGGTACGTTGGAGGAATTATGTGGAATTATGTGTATCTCCTGATAATCCCGGAAGATTGGGCCGGAATGAATCAGTCACCTCAGAGGAACATTTTGCATGCCCCCCCCCCGTCCCTGACCTGTGAAGCCCCCATCTGCGATGTTGAACATGAACTTGTTCTTGTAGCAGCCCCTGTCTTCCCTCCTGCCGTCGTCCATCTCATCACGGATCTCCTTCTCCCCGTTTACTTGGCCCTCGGCTGCATCCTCAGTCTTTGCTTCTGCCCTGGGTGCTAAAGGGGAACCACAGGCTCACAATGAGCAGATCCAGTAAGAAATCAATTCATATATCTATCATCAAAAAATCACTTCTAGTCACAGGGACTCAGAGACCCATGTATTATTATTCATTCATTTAACTAAAAAAATTTATACGATGTAGTTCACACCAATGTCCTATAGGGGTCAGTGATTTGGCAAAAGCATAAGCGCAGGCTCCTGACCTGGTTTGCATTCCTTCTCCTCGGACCGCACAGCGGGCGGCTCGCTGTCTCCCTTCTCCGATGGCCTCTCTGCCTCTCGGGATGGCTCCCCTGGTGAGGACAGCACAAGCATGGACTGTAAGGCCCTCACCAAAAAAGGGGAATCGTGCCTATCCAGCTCTGCAGTAATGGTGCACATTCAGGAGGATGGAAAACAGAAAAAGCATCATTTGTTCATGCTGAGAGAATTGAAAGCAACAGCTTTGGTCTCAATTTAAATTAGATTTTTATATCAGAATAAATATAGCTCATTAGAAGTATGTGTCAGGAAGGTTGTGGGTTCAAATCCCATAGCCAGTAGAGTAATCCGATCACTGTTGGGTCCTTGAGCAAGGTGCTTAACCCCAACTGCTCCCGGGATACTAGCTCACCCTGCCCTCTCTAACCCAAACTTTTCTCGCTTGCTGAGATGGAAAGTTTAGCTTCAGAAAGTACAAATCCAGACCAAGATTTTGTTTCAACCTACTAGTTGAGTATAAAGGGTCACATTTACAGAGTACTCAATTGATTGGTTTAAAATAAAATCTGGATCTGTATTTTCTGGACCTGAGATTTCCACCTCTCCTCACTTATACATCGCTTTGGACAAAAGCATTAACTACGTAGCAGGACACGTGTTACATTTTTTACTGTAACACAGGGCACAAGTGTGTAACATTAGACTCGTCTTGGGACTTAAATCTGCAATTTTTTTGTCTCAGATCTAACTCCATAATAGCTAGACTTATTGTCACCTTGGTTCTGAAGTGCTATGCATGCAAGATCATTTAATCATGTGACCAAACCCAAATTGGCCACCCTTTCGTTTGCCTCTGCATGCCTGTTTTGCTTTGATTGGAGGGCGACTCTGTCTGCTTCGAGGCTGACTGTGCCTGATTGGAGGAGGTCTCCATGTGACTGGAGGAAGGCTGGCTCTGATTCGTAGAAGACTCAGGCTTCGGGGGTGAGTCTGCTTTTGAGTTCTCCTCAGGCTGTCTCTCCTCAGACGCCTTGACTCTGGGCTCCTCACTGTCAGTGGGCTTGTCAGGCCTGGGGGACGACTCCAAACTGGGGAGAGTCTATGGAAAACAAATGCCATGAGGTCATAAAGAAGGAAGAGAATGAGAAAGAGATCGATGCAGATGGATGGATAAAAAGAGACTGAATAAGCAACCAAGAAGGAAAAAGAAGAAGTAAAAGGAGAACTAAATGGAGACAAAAAGGAAGGAGAAAGGACTGAAATAAGTTTAATGGAGGCGGAATATCACAACTTCTGGAAATAGTAATTATTAATTCAAACATCACAAGTTCATTAAGTCAGTTTGTTCCACATTACAACACCTATACAGTGGGATTACCATATCTGTGAAAAAAGTAAAAAAAATTCCGGAAACAATTCATAAGTTTCAGACGCCAATCGAGTACAGTTTGTAAGCCGGTGAGTAAGCACAACAGGCTAAGATATTTTTAAACAAATACATTTTTCTCATTACATATTTTTCATTGTAAAACGTATAGGAGCAGGCTATGGCATTTCAGTGTTCCTTCCTCCTGTGAGGGGTATAATTCCATTGCTCCGTCATCCCTTGATACATATAAAAAATATGACAGATATTGACATATTGAGTCTTGAGAATTAGGCTAAAACGTTAGAATCTCCTTCATTCGAGAGAGTACCGTGCTGTGTAATAATGCACAATGTACTTTATTATTACTGCATTTAATGTTGGTAATGTCTGACTGTGCGCAATCTTTCAATTAAACTTCACTTTATACATGTACATGGAAATCACATTATATAAAGGAGACTAAGGGGGGATATGATTCAGGTCTATAAGATTCTAACGGGTCTGGATGCTGTTCAGCCAAATGACTATTTCAATATTAGTCTAAATACTAGAACTCGTGGCCATAAGTGGAAATTAGCGGGAGAACATTTTAAAACAAATTTGAGGAAGCACTTCTTTACACAGCGTGTAGTCAGAGTATGGAATAGTCTTCCTGCTATTGTAGTGGAAGCTAAAACCATGGGTTCCTTTAAATCAGAGCTAGATAAGATTTTAACAACTCTGAGCTATTAGTTAAGATCTCCCCAAACGAGCTTGATGGGCCGAATGGCCTCCTCTCGTTTGTAAATGTCTTATGTTCTTATGTTCTTATGTTCTTATATGGAGTTTGCAGGTGGTTTGCCATCATCCTGGCTATCCGGGACCGGTACATAATACTTGCGGGTACGGGGGGGGCAGCCCTTAATTTGATAATTAAACTGGAAGATACTAAACACAGATCTGGGTATGACAAAGTCCTTACCTTGTTTTCAGACTCAGGCGCCTTCTTGCCATCCTGCTCCACCATTTCCTTCTCTTCAGAGGGTCCAGAGAGAGACTCCGCCTTCTCTGGATGGCAGTAGGCAAACGGTGAACAGCACAGAACCGGCAACCTGAATCAGGACCTGCCTGGCGGTACAGGTCAGGCGCGCCCACCTCACCTGGGGGCACGGGGGTGCCGGGCTGTGTGGCCGCCGGACTGGCCGGGACGGGCGTGTTGGGGTCTGAGGACAGGCTCTCCGTCAGCTTCTTCAGCTCCACCCCCTCGGGGATCAGGTCCGGCGTGCTGTATTTGCCGTTGACGTGCTCGAATTCCTGCACCTGTGGGCACGCAATCGAAGCTTCTCAATATTCTGACAGTAATAAGAAAATTATGCTTCACGTGATATTTAATTTCCAGCACAGTATAATAACAGCAAGCAATAAGAAATGGAGAGATACGAAGAGACTCCATTATCCATTTAAGTGGGGGAGGGAGGGGTTGAATAGTGCGTGACCTTCTTCCGGACCAGCGACATGACCCCGATCCTGGTGAGGACGTGCTGTCGGGACAGACCCTCCCGCGGGACGCCGTCGGCGAAGGTCTCCGCCCCGTCGGCTCCGGGCTCACACAGGTGCCTCATGAATAGGGACACGTAGGCCCTGGGAAACCAGAAAATGCTGCTAACTGACGCCAGCAGGGGGAGCCGTTTCCCTCCCACAAAAACCTAAACAGGGACGCCCTAGTAAAACAATCAACAACGCACAAGGATAAATTTTACTCTCTTTATACATCTGGTGTAAATAAAAACCGAAATATGTGTCCTGGTGAGAAAAAAAAAAAAAGAAAAAAAAGAAGGTGATTATTTTCATTCATGGTTTCTATACTCAGGGTGACAGTATAGACAGGAGTCAGATTAGCGTGAAATGTTCCTTGACACAGCAGCTGTGTGACAGTAAATAAAAGGAGGGCCCCCCCTGGGGGCGTCGTGGGGGTACCGGAACTCCTTCTCGCTTTTGCCCCTCAGGTCCCGGACCAGCCAATGGGAGTTGAAGGCGTCCTGGGGGGGCATGCCCCAGCGCATAATGGCATTCAGGAAGGCCTTTCTCTGTCGGGCATTGAAGCCCAGCACCTGGGGGGGGGGGGAATCACATGTTACTTACTGCTAACATGCAGGCTTTTGTAATCACCTGAAATGAATGAGCAAATAAGGGAATATGCCAGAATTTTCCATATGTTACTTCCCATTGTGTTACAATGAGCTAATAATTAAGCACAAGTCCAAACAGGATTTAGTGACGGTATCTCAGATTTATTCTCCTACTCAGTTGGACACGGACAGTTGCTATGATTGCACAGAGCTACTTAAGGGGTTTCATTATGCAGAATCATCACTAGCAATTTAGCATTTCAAACAGGGCGTCCTCCATCAGAGAAATGCGACGTGCGGAACATAAACAAACAGGGCAGGGCTTTAGGGTGCGCCTTCGGCAGCATCACCTGAGGTCATGTGATTTCTTTTTGCCCCACCCACCACCCCACCCACCTCAATGTTGCCTCCAACTCGAGCCAGCAGGGGTGGCAAAGGTTTGTCACGGTCGCTCTTCAGCTGTCTGCGAGACTGACGCCGCCCCCCTGGGGAACAATGATTGGTTTAACAGCAGCAAGGAGCGGGGTTTGATTTATAGAGCAAATCCAGGCAATTTACAAAAGATAGATCCTGAAGGACGTTATAAAGCCTGCCTAAAGAAGAAGACAAAGTACAAGAAACAGCTCAAAGAGCAGCAAATTGTGAATGGCGTCTTAAATAATTTCGATCCTTAAAATCTTGGGGGAGGGCTCTGTCCAAGTTCCTCTGTATTTCATTGGTTCATTGGTTGTCAAGGAAACAGCTGGTTGATTGAAGAAGGCCCGGGGTTACATTCAGAAGATAATCTTTCGGTCGAAATGACAATAAGTTATATAAATGACAGGGTTACTAAGCATCTGTGACATAAGAGCTTATGAGTTTTGATTGTTTCTTGTTTCCACTTTGGTGTATATATTGACTTATTTCCAGAAGCATTTTGCATTTGTAGAAGAACACCAAAGGTGACATTTTGTCAGCTATGTTTACTTTCTCCCTTAATTTGATTTTAATGGTAGAAATGTCTCTTTGTGGTACAAGTGCTTAAGCTAGTCAATACTCCATCACAATTCTCAATGTTTTCGAAAGCAGACAGAACCTGACTAATCCAAAGCATGCAAAATGTGTCGAAAGCATCATCTTCATACCTTCTGGGCGCTCCTCGAAATCCTCATCCTCGTCCTCGGACCCCACCGAGTATTCAGACTGGTTGTCTGAAAGATCATCCTGCCATTCTGAGCCACGGGTCAGTGAGAAACAACAGCACATTGACCACAGAGAGAAATAAACACACCAGACAGAACTGCTTCTTCGCGGTAACCAGGGTGATCATCTGGGGACACTGATGACCACTGGCGATTCACTATGACCGTTAAGTTACACTGGTGACCACTGGCGATTCACTATGGCCGTTAAGTTACACTGGTGACCACTGGCGATTCTCTATGACCGTTAAGTTACACTGGTGACCACTGGCGATTCACTATGACCATTAAGTTACACTGGTGACCACTGGCGATTCACTATGACCGTTAAGTTACACTGGTGACCACTGGCGATTCTCTATGACCGTTAAGCTACACTGGTGACTACTGGCGATTCACTATGACCGTTAAGTTACACTGGTGATTCACTATGACTGTTAAGCTACACTGGTGTTCACTGGCGATTCACTATGACCGTTAAGTTACACTGGTGACCACTGATGATTCACTATGACCGTTAAGTTACACTGGTGACCACTGATGATTCACTATGACTGTTAAGTTAAACTGGTGACCACTACCTTGAGTCTGGCCTCGTTGATTGCTTTCTCCTTATTGCAACCATCACTGAAACCATGCCGTCTGTTAGGTATTACTGCATACACACAAGTGGCCAAAACTGAAGTAACACTTCTAATTTTTATTTTGCAGAGCTGTATTCAAGTTACTCCAGTTACTTATTTAATCGTCCAGTGTATGATATTTGTAACATTCTTTGATTGTTTATAAACATTACCGCCAGTATTCATGTAGTAATTTTTAAAGCGTAATGCCAAAAATGCTAGGTGTTTTGACAGTTTTGGCCACTAGTGTAGAAGAAGATTCTGATCATTAGAATTCTACAGTTGTACTGCATATAATATAATGGCAAATGAACACTCTATGGTTGTACTGAGGTTGGATTAAGGTTCTGAAAGCAGAACACTATGGTCATACCACAGATTATCATTAGCACAGTATGATAACTGACAGCTTCTCACCTTGGTCTTCCTGTGAGGTGTCGTTGTAGTTGACCTGCTTTCGAACCCGCTTGCCTTTGCCCAGGTTGCGCGCCAGGTCCTCCTGCTGCTGCTCGTAATGGTGCCTCAGTAGCTTCTCCCAGTAGTCAGGGTCGACGTTTTCCTCCTGCTTGATGATCTCCCGCTGCACCTCCTCCTGGGGGCAGCAGATGCAAACGCACATGAGCACTGCATGGTGAGGGGTTAGATCGCACCAAAAATGAGTCTATGGGCCATTTGTAAGTAACCTCCACGTAGGGTTTGGTAGTAAAGAACATGGAATAACACTTTCCTAGAGGCACAAGTAACTTAGCAACTCAGTTACTATGCAGGTACAAATCATGAACAAATATAGTAACTGCATGAAATACATGAACTGTTATGACTGATTTATGATGAACTAACATGGGATCAGTATGTAGCTAACACTTAGTTCATGGTTAATCAATACATTAACTAAGAGTGTACTGCTACATTATTTGTGGCCCCTCAAGTAAAAGGTTACCGAACGTAATAAACACTGATGTTAACTAACTGTTTTCCTAAAGCAGGCATAAATTTGTGGCTTTGCTCTATATGACATCTCTATGTTTTTTCTAGCAAAAGGTGCAGAAAATTAGAGCTTTGTGGATTTACTGTAGACGCTAAATATCAAAGCTCATCACCTCTCCATCCTCCTCCCGCACCACGTACTGGGCCACCTTGAAGGAGCTCAGGTACTCATTCATGTTCTGGATTTCCGTGTCTTCGGTGGCGTCCTGGCTGCGGTCCAACAGCTTGGAAATCGCATTGTCATCGTAGTGAATCACGCTGCCTTCTTCTCCATCCTTACTGTCCCCTGCAAGCAGGAAAGGGTCCAGAGACATCATCGGGTCAGGGGACCCCGTCCCCAGGAATTGACATGGACAAATGAGGGTCATGTGATCACAGAATAAGGATGCAGTGTAGCCTCAGGGGAAATACCAGTTAGAATCAGTGGGATGTTACGCGGGATGAAGATTAGATCATCATGTACCGATAGCCTCCACGTCGTCCTTGAAGAGCTCTTCAGTGCCGAACTTCAGGATGTCGTCCAGCTCCTGCTTAGACATGGAGCCCGTCTTGGAGCCCAGGCCGGGCCGCACCACCAGGTGGGTCAGCATCATCTTGCGCTTGGCCACCTGCGTGATGCGCTCCTCTACTGAGGCCCGTGTTACAAACCGGTAGATCATCACCTTCCTGTTCTGGCCAATCCGGTGAGCTCGGCTGAAAGCCTGACAAGGGGAGGGGGCGGCACAGTGGGTAAGGATTCCGTCAGGGAGGCAAAAGATCTCCAGCATCCATGAGGACCTTTGCAGATATTCTCAATATGCTCTCATCATTAGTCTATCATCCATAAAAACATATCCAGTACAGGTTTGTGGAGCTTGGAGCCCATTCCAGGAAGCAATGAACTCAAGGCTGGATACACACCAGTGCACGGCAGGATATACACACAATCTCACACCATAGGCACTTTATAGGTGCCAGTTCAGCCAACCAGAGGCTTTTGGACTGCAGAAGGAAAATGAAAAACCAGGAGCAGGAGCAACCCTTGGGAAAATGAGGAGAAAATGCAAATTCCACAGACACAGGACAGGGTCAGGATTTGAACCTCCACCCTGGAGATGTGAAGCTGGAGTGAGACGCCACATCGCAAAACTGAGTAATAGAAATACTACTAATAATAATGTATGACTTCATGATCCATAGGTACATAAAAAAAAGACGGGAATATCTCTGAGCACCATCATCGCAGCACACGGGACTCACCTGGATGTCGTTGTGCGGGTTCCAGTCCGAGTCGTAGATGACGACCGTGTCGGCAGAGGCCAGGTTGATTCCCAGTCCGCCGGCTCGGGTCGACAGCAGGAAACAAAACTGCTGAGCTCCAGGAGCTGCGGAGAAAGGAATATGGGCGCATCGCCCTCCAGTGAGGTAAAGGGGGACTACAGCCATCTAACAAGCATGAGGAAAAGTTAGCCTGAACGGAAATGCTAACAGCATTCTGAATGTCAAGAAAATCCATTAGTTTTAGTTCAGTATTTGTGAATGATCATTTGCGTACACAGACTGACTCTTTTAGAGGAGTTTATGGGGGGGATAAAAATGGGAAACAGCTTTCTATCAGTTCCTAGTGCTCCTCTACTTGGTGTACTTCTATGTTTTACCCTGTGCAGCTCTTGCCAAAAACTATAGGTCAACTTTGTCAAAACAAGATTAAAGGAAGAACCTATTTTCTTTTAAAGATCCACCCCCACAACACCGTACCATTGAAGCGGTCGATGGCCTCCTGCCGCAGGCCCCCTGTGATGCCCCCATCTATTCGCTCATATTTGTAGCCCTCATATTCCAGGAAGTCCTCCAGCAAGTCCAGCATCTTGGTCATCTGAGAGGGAAATGGAGGAGCAGCCAGTGTAGAACTCAGAGAGCGGGTGTTTCTCAACGCCAAGAACACAAAGACTGGTCGAGCTCAGAGAGCGGGTGTTTCTCAACGCCAAGAACACAAAGACCGGTCGAGCTCAGAGAGCAGGTGTTTCTCAACGCCAAGAACACAAAGACCGATAGAGCTCAGAGAGCGGGTGTTTCTCAACACCAAGAACACAAAGACCGTACTTGCAGTCCTGGCAAGACCAGTCTTACTAACTTGCCTCCCAACAATAAACCTGGGCCGCAATGAAAACCCCCAATTCAATTTAATGGGAAAACACCCAATTTCAGGAAATTCTGTGTACTATTCTACAAGAAATTCTGCTTAAATACAGCACCTAAATCCTAACTACAGAGATATTTTTATGAATTTAAAACTTATGATAGCAGGAGACGGGAACAGAACACAGAGGCAGGTAGGCTGACCTGGGAGAAGATGAGAACCCTGTGTCCTTCATCTTTGAGTTTCTTCAGCATCTTCTGCAGCAGAGTCAGCTTCCCTGAGGACTTCACCAGCAGGTTCCCATCGTAGGAGCCATTGGGCAGAACGGGGGCTTCCTGCATCCAAACACAGATAAGTGTGGCGTCGTGCCCACACACACACACACACCACCACCACCACTGGTGTGGCTTTCAGCATAAACCCTTCACTACACACATGCAAATCAAAAGCTTTCAATCAGACCAATTAGGGATCAGTTCCGCGTTTGAATATCATCCCATAAAGAATAGCAATGGCTTCACGCTGACAGGATTGATTCACAAATACCCACGAGCAGATACAAACTTCTAACATGACAAACTTATATTGATTAATACGGGCGTCTGCATATGAAGGAAGGACAATTTGCATAATAAGAGAGCTTAGAGCAGGGGTCCTTGACTGCAGCACTCGGGGTACCTGTGTACACTGGTTCGCTTTCATTTAATGAGCCATGATTGAGCTATTGATTGAATGGCTGACACAATTAAAAACGGCACCACTGCCAACACAGCTGGGGACAGACTGTAATTAGAAAATTACAGGGTGAGTTCATTTGGGCAGAAAGTAGCTTTGAGATTTGGTAACTGTAAACACAGCGTTCCTGCCAATCAAATCTTCTCTTCATTTGATCATTATCAAGCATTATTTGCCGTTTCCAAAAGCCATTCTATGCTTTATTTTCATAGTGATTGTTACAACTGATTAATGGAAGCCATTGACATTATTACTGTGTTTAAAATTATGCCATAAAATTGCTTTCCTTTTCACCATCACAATTTTTTTTTTGTGCAAATCATATGTTTGGTGACTCAAACAGTCCGATTCTGGCATGGTGTCTTGGTTGTACTGGTCCACGATGTGCCCCTACCACAGCGGCCACTGGGAACAGGTAGGGGTGGTTGCAGCATTTCTTCAGGTCCATCATGATGTTGAGCAGCGACACCTGGTTCCCTCCACCCTTGGAGTTCAGCGCTTCAAAATTCCGCGTCAGGATGAACTTGTAATACTTCCTGCATGGCGGGAAGGGCAGAAAGGCCAGTCAGCGGGTGGGAGGAACTTAACTAAGCAAAATGTTAGAGCCAAATGGACAAAACTGCAGGAAATGAACAGGCTGAACGTGGAGTGAGATAAGAGCCAAATGTAACAGAATATTCCATTAAGGAATATCAAGAAAACAAACATGTAAAGGAAAAGGTTTATAATTTTAATAGGTAACTCAAATCAAATCGAGCTGCATTTGGGCCAAATCTGACACCTTAGGGTTGGATGGATGGGAAAGGGAGTGGGGGTGGGGGGGTGGGGGACTGAACTGCAGGGGACAGACATGGAAAGCGAGAAAGAGAGTCATGGCTGACTTCTGCATGGGACTGAGCTCCACTCGCACAATCAGCTCTGTCTTGGCCGGCATGTTCTTGAAGACATCGGCCTTCAGCCTGCGCAGCATATGCGGCCCCAGGAGGTCGTGCAGCTTCTTGATTTGGTCCTCCTTGGAGATGTCGGCAAACTCCTCCAGGAAGCCTTCCAGGTTGCTGCAAATGGAGAACAGACTCTAAGATGAAGCTGCTTTCCTACAAAGGCCGGCAAGCGGGTGAATAGATCCAGGTCGAGATTAAACGGTTAAACTGGGACCGGTACGTACTTGAAGCGCTCGGGTGTGAGGAAGTTGAGCAGATGAAAGAGCTCCTCAAGGTTGTTCTGCAGAGGGGTCCCCGTGAGGAGCAGCTTGTAGTAGATCTTGTAGCCATTGAGGATTCTGAAAAACTTCACACAAACCCACAAAGTAAACAGACTCATCACATACGTAGCCCATCAATATTTCGTACTTGACACGCACATCCTAAAGATACTACCGAATTCCATCTATTGTACGAACTTCTGCGCTGATGTCAGAGTTAAAAAATAAATATGCCTTAAAATAGTCGCTATGACAACAAGGGTTGATTGCCTCTCCTGAACCCTAATTTGCATGTAAGCAGCATACAATTTGCATCTAATCATGTCAATGGCACAGCTTAAGAATGGGTGTTTGGGAATTTTTGCATTCTGGACTACGTTACTTTTGGGCTGAGCATTTGTAATGATTGCATTCAACTCTCAAAGCACCCATCTTCACGGCTGTAAAAAACCAACCCTGGAGGTAAACCTATAATACAGCATGAATGCCAACACAGATGTAATTCGTTTACCCGATTAGCTGGCTCAAAGACAATCACAGACACTATAAGCATCTTGCTTGCCTGAATTGCGACAGATTAGCCATTTCACACAGCCTGGAAGCTTCCCAAGCTATCCGTGGTCTGACAGGTGAGGCTGGTCTACCTTTGACTGGTTGTTCTTCAGCCTGTGAGCCTCGTCCACCACCAGGCAGGCCCAGCTGATGGACCCTAGGACGGCTTGATCGATAGTGATGAGCTCGTAGGATGTTAGCAGCACATGGAATTTGATTGGCGTGTCCTTCTGTGGTTGGGGCCGGGCATGTCAAGACCAGAAATCAAGCCTTTAAATCATACCGCATTATCTCTCAGATAGCAGACACAATACCAGCTGTAGCACTTTGCTGACACGTGCAAAACTTGCAATCCATTGACGGGCTGCTTTCAGGGCTGACAGTTGACTTCTCTTGAAGACTTCTTACCAGTCACCAAGAATAAGAAAATGTGGTGGGAGCTATGGGCAGGAGGTGTGGCCTACCTTCATGCGAAAAACCTTGCGATTTGACTTCACGTTGCTGTCCTCGAAGGTAAACTCGTTCTCTCGAATGACGGACCGGCTTTCCTTGTCGCCAGTGTAGGTCACAACGTAGAAGTCCGGCGCCCACAGCTCAAACTCACGCTCCCAGTTGATAATTGTAGAGAGGGGGGCACTCACCAAGAATGGCCCCTTGGAGTGTCCCTGTGGAGGGAGAACGTCACCATTTATGATAGAAGATCGGTAAATTCTAATCTGCTTAACTCAAAGTTGCGCCATAAAAAAATTGACCGCCAGGGAACTCACTTCCTTGTAGAGGGAGTAGAGAAAAACTATGGTCTGGACAGTCTTGCCCAATCCCATCTCGTCAGCCAGGATGGTGTCGGTACCCTGTGCCCAGGAGAATCGCAGCCAGTTGAGGCCCTCCAGTTGGTAGGGGTGTAGGGTGCCCCCTGTGGCATTGATGTAAAAGGGCTGCTGGTCGAATTTGATGGTCGGCTGGGGCACAAGGGCAATATAAAGAACCTTTCAATCTGCGGTATGACTACAGTGACTCCCACCTTCACCACACCCACTTCCTACGTACATCCACCAATGGAGTTTCAGGGGGGCGTTCCCGTTTCCCCTCCTCCTTGGCCCGTTTCCCCTTCCTCACCACCATGGGGCGGATGTCTTCCCCAAGAATCTGCTCCCTGGAATGAAGGACAGCAATCACCCGGCTGGTATCTCAGCTCGGCATTTCAGTTGGCGCGCCAATCAGCCATGGCGGGCTTACCTGTGGTCCCAGTAGGACTGCTTGAATCGATCGTACTCAGGGACGTCAAAGTCATCCACCTCCCAGGTACACTGGTCGTAGGGAAGGTCCCGCCACTTGATCAGGTAATGCACGTCCCCCTCCTTATCAAAGCTAACAAAGAAGAAAGACAAGTCATGGTAGTTATCTGGCTTTTGGGTTTTGCATATTTATAAAATTCTCAGGAGACTGGAACACACCTTGAATAAAATTAATGGCCAAAGTGAATTGGACACTGCTGACTACTTTAGCAACAAGGCCAAGAACCGGGCCAGTGGTGCAGTAACACGCACTGCCACTGGTGAGCAGAAAGCACCTGTGGTTGGCGATCCTGTGGATAATCATCCACTCAGGCTTGATACCATAACGGTAGAAGCGCTCCTCCATGACGGCGTACTGCGGGTCTTTGCTCTTGCGCTTCTCGCTGTTCAGCTCCTCATCGCCGGAGCCATAGTCGTAGGGTGGAGGGTCCTCCATGTCATTCTTTCGTTGGTAGTTGCGGTACATGACTGTGTGGTACAGCTCCAACTGTGAAAGAGAGAGAGAGAGAGAGGGGAAGGTTCCAGTGAGTACTGTGGATCATTTGCCCAAGAAGCTACTCATAGCTAGATAATCCAGCATAGAAATTTTACAAACCTTCTCGGTCAAACCTATAGAAATATTATTCCACATTTTTAGGAAAACCGAATCATGCTTAGAGGGCCTCAAACACAAGTGATGTACAGCACTGGAAGAATTTCTTCTTGCCATTAAGTAAGAGCTGCCTGTTAGAAATTAGCATAAGATAATAGTCACGTTATTAGTCTTGGTTGCCCATCAGTACGATTTGCTGGTCATTAGGCTCCGATAGTCAGTGATGATATAAGTCAGGAACATATGGCTGCTGTCAGTGGGAGATTTCGTCCAGCCTGAGTTGTTCGCCTTACCTGCAGCTCGCTGACCCAGGAACAGTGCCAGTAGGAGAGACCAGCCCACTTCACAAACAACAACCTCTCGGGGTGGCCCTTCAGGGGGGGTTTGCACAGCGGCATGCCTGTCTCCCCTTCAGCACTGGGTGGGGCTTCGGGAGGCAAGGGGGGGTCCCCCCACATCCAGTGAAGAATCCGTTGTACCTTTCCTTTCAGGGGAGGGCACTGGTGATAGGATGACGAGAGCACATGACACAGAGGATATTCACTGTGGTTTCCAGAGCCTCGACCTCATCAACTCTCATTCACATTTTCATTTCAGCCACTGTCACAACAAAACTGGGGAATTATGTAGATATCCCTGAGAACAACAACAACCTGGTCTTCACCCACCAAAAGTTATCAAAAGGACCGATGCCATTCAAGCTACACAACACCACCAAGTTTTGGCTCTATGAAAGAAAAACTACTTAAAATAAGTTTAGACTTTGAACTGCCCTTCACCGTGAGGACCAAAGCAGAAAACACAACAGACAAAACCAGTGGGAAAGTTAAATCAAATCATAATGTAATAAAACACACACATACAGACACACACACACACCGTTATGATTGCAACAGAGATAAAAAGGATACAGTTCTTTGTATGGATCCTTCAGAGTTCATATGGCTGTCACTGCATTTACCAACTGTAATTTTACTTCCAAACCAGTACGCCATTATCTCCATACTTAAATTGTCAGAAAAGGAGAACCAACGGTGCAGAAGAAATCCAGAAGCTGATTGGCTCAGCTGGTGTCACTCACCATGCAGCGTGGACAGAGCCACTCCCCATTGGGTATCTCGGGCAGGGGGGGGTTGAGGCAGTGGATGTGGTAGGAGGATGGGCAGGTGTCACAGCAAAGCAGCTCACCACCGTCTTTGCACACCCGGCAGAACTCCATGTGGTCATCCTCTTCCTCACCAGCAGCATCCTCCTCTTCCTCATCATCATCTTTGGCTTCCCATTGGATGCCCTCCTTTTCCTGTGTGCACACATACGGACACACACATGAAATCACATACACGCCCTTCTTAAGCAGAGCTGTTGACATGATAAATATAAGGACAGTTATTACTACCTAGTGGTACAGGCTTACGACAAGTTACACCTGTACGAGTCACGTACAATTGCATTTACATCCAAGGTCTATAGTAAATAATATACACCGATCGAGAGACGCCTGACAGCGGATGCAGTAGGACATTAGCGGGTGTATGGCTCAGCGCGACAGGACCAGGAGAATGGGCAGCACTACCAGTCATATAATGACCCACTGTACATATCTAATTTGTAATACAGTAAGCATACATTAATGCATAAGTGATGGATAGCTAAAACATCACGGTATGCCCGAACTGACTTGCGTCTGATGGTCCTGGTCTTAAATGCGAACGCAAGTCGATGCGAGGCTGTATAGGTTATTATAGGCAAATAAAAGTTAACACCTAATGTACTATCTGTAACAGTCCTAATACAGGTGTATTTGATGTCAGAATAGGGGTCTCCAACTATTTTTCAGCAACACAAAGCCAGCAACTGGTGATCACTAGGTAAGATATAACAAAGACCAGGTAACCTTAAATGTTTTTACAATTAATAGCAATTATGCGCAGGAAAAGAACACGCAGGAAAGGTTCCGCGTCAGCACAGGTGAAGTGTGACACAGCTAAACACAGGTTAGCGCAGCTAAGCAGAGGTAAGGCTGTCTCACACAGTGGGGGCAGCTCCACTTGCCCTCCGGGGCCTTTTCCAGCTCGGGGTCGAGGCACACCAGGTGGTAGGCCCGCGGACAGGTGTCACACAGGATGATCTCGCCGCCCTGCTGGCACACCTCGCAGTAGTCCTGGTGGTCTGTCTCATAGCCATCCCCGTCCTCTCCTGTAGGGGGTGCCGGTGAGGGCAGCCATTAAGGTTATAGATTTACTTATTAAAGCTCATATTCAACGTTTAGTAACAAGATCCTTGGAGAGGAATCCTTAACCAAGGTGCTTCAATTACTTAATTCAAATAACCAGCAGACTGAATTATTGTGAGACATAAAAGACCAAGAAAATATAGATACAAACATCAGACAACTAAATCAAACAAGAAGGAAAAGCACATGCAACATGTGTGGAAGGTGTTCTTCTGGGTAAAGTATAAAACAAAAAAATGTAACTCCGCCTTCTGTACCAAGCCCTCAAAGCTCAGTTGAAAGATAAATGGATGGATGGATGGACGGATGGATGAATGGATGGCGTAATACGAACAATTGAAGGTGGGGCATCAGCTAATTATCAAACAAGTCAAAGATCTTTTGAAGCATCTGAGCTGCTCCAAACATGGATATAAAATATTGTTATTAACCCAAAGTAGGAAATTGGTAGAAATATAGTCCTTGCTATGTTTCTTGAATGCCACAATTTAGGACTGATCCACCACTGTGGAACTGTCAAGTGATGGAGGTCCAACCAGATTCCAACATAAGCTGTAGTTGTCTGAAAAGAAGTCATTGCTAGACATTACTTGATTTACAGAAGTTCTGCCTCATGTGGACAGGCCTGGTTTATCAGTTAAGTTACACTGAGACCTTGGGTTCTGTGTTAGGAAGGAGGCCTCGAGTTCTCAGGCCTCCACACCTTTCCTAACCAGGTTCTACAAACACGCCAAACCTACTCTTCCTCTTCTTGCGCCCCCTCCGGGCCTTCTTCTTGGGTGCCACAGACGTGTCCGAGAGTACAGAGACACTGTGGATGCTGACATCATCAAAGTCAGACTCCTCGAAGAAGTCCTCTTCACTCTGGGGACAGGAAAAGTGACTCTTATCAAGAAACCAAATCGGCGTGCTTGGGCTTCATGCTGTAGGAAGTCCATAAAAGGGCACAGGCCCACGATTCATGGGGAGACCCATAGACCCATGAAAGTCACCCCGTGGCGGGACAGTGGAAACAACTGTTCAGGCAGCTGTTGAGCGCATTCGTTGGCGGACAGGTGGAAAGCAGCGGAAGGTGGGCACTCACCGACGATGCCTTTTTCCTCTTCCCGCTCTGCCCGTGTTTCGGTTTCGTCTTTTTGCCCTTGCCTTTCTTCTTGTTTTCCTTGGAGCTCTTACACTTCCGCCTCACCCCGGGACCTGGGAGAACAAGGTATACCTCTGACTAATAAATAATAATAAAATTGATGGATTCACGTTTCTTTTTATGCCGGTACCTGTACATTTTAAGGTCATCGATTTCTGACAATCTATTCATTCAATATCGATCAGAGGACCGAAGGTTCTTTACGTCCTGGGGGGTGCTCACCCTTTCCTTCTTTGGTTTTGGCTTTTCGGACGACCCCTCCCTGAGAAGACTGCTGAGTGCTGCCGATAGAGATGGGGGCTGCTACGGTGACCGTTTCCACGGCAGCGGCCACGGCTGCAGCCACGGCAGTAGCGGAGGTGCCCTTGAAGGGGTTGTTGGCACTGAACTCCCGCCACTTGGCGCCAAGCACTGTCATCATCTTGGACATGGGGATTTTGGGGTTCTTTTTGGCAATAAGGGGCCTGATCCAAAAACAAGGGTGGGTGGTGGGGGGGGGGCAAAAAGAGAATACACCAAAACTGAGGTTCGCCTTCTTCACACTGATCAGGCTATTACACGATTACTTTTCACATGGTTAGACTCTGAAGAACCTCTGCTAAACAGCTAAATGGTGCCTCATACATATGCTGATCGCAGCTAAGCCACATGCTGATGCATGACATCACACAAAGGGGATGTGCAGAAAAAGGCAGAGAGCTGGCCTGACAGGAGGAAGCGCAAGGGCCTACCTGAGAAACTGACTGAAGGCCTTGTAGTTGGTGAGGGTCCGGTAGTCTTCTTCGGAGAAGGTGTATTCAACATTCTCAAGACCCCATTCTTGCATCAGCTGACAGGAGGACTTCGGTTCCTAAGCGGAGGGAGGAGTATTTTGCAAGAAGTCCATCAAACCAAAACAGGAGAGACGCCCTGCCAAGCATGAGCTTACCTTCATCCCGCCATCGTCTTCATCCTCGTCCTCCTCTTCATCTTTCTTCCTCCGTTTGACTCTCTTCTCTTTCTTCTCCTTCGGTTTTTTCTTTTTCTTCTTGACGGGGGCATAGCTGCTGTTCTCGCTCTCGGACTGCTCCCCCAGCTCGTCCTCCCGCTCCGAGGCGTCCTCCGGGTCGCTGGCACCGCCCTGTCGCCGCAAGTGGACGCTTCAACAGCCACCAGCGGTCGACCGGACACTCACACCCACGGAAAGCTGACCCCTTAAGTGTAAGCAGCTCTCCGTCTCGTATAATAATGCGGTGAAACTATGCCAGACTATGTTACGCACACAAACACGATACTGAAAGCTAAGTACTTCCTGTTGTCATTTTGAATCAGATTATCTCTCAGCAATAATGTGCAATAACACTCCCTGTTGCTGGTGATAAGAAAAAACAATTTCAGGGAAAAAGCAAATTCGTATAACCTAATAACTGGCTTCCTCCAGCAACCCAATATAAAATGAAAGAATTATTTTGTAATTTGTTTTTTTTTTTTGAGTGGATTGAAGGTCTGAGAGGACAGGAGGAAGAGCAGAAGGTGGAGGAGGAGTTTGGTCACATCCGAATGTTTACACATCGCAATCCAGCTCAGAGCGCAGCAGCTGCAGAACTGCCAGAGCACACATCAATCACCCAGGCACCCAGCCAATCAGAACGCAAGACAGCTCAGCGAATAAAAGTCTTGGCCAATGGGATCGCGAGGCAGCTTGGCTAATAAAAGATTTAGTCTCGGATACCGTAGCACTGTAATAGGGCCACCTGCCCTCCCCATTCTCTTGCCCACACCCCAAACACGCAGGTACTCGATGGGCTCCGAAACATGACATGTGCAGGCACTATCCTGCCACCTCCCTAGATTCAGGTGGGGGGAGGCTTGCCATGCCGCAGAATACCGCCGAGCGCCGGTTGCCATGGTTACCCCACTGCGCAGCGTCTGGACTCCCCCCCCCCCCCACAGCAGCTAATGGGAGAGCGCCCCCCCCCCCATCCAATCAGAGTCCTTTGCATAACAAGTCCGTCTAGACAAATCTCATTTACAATCTCCAGGGAAGATGGAGGGGTTCTGAATGATTACAGGGTGGATGCTGTGGTGGGGGGCGCTGGAGGAAAAGCAGAGATTCACAGCACCCATCCACAAACAGTGTTTCGCAATCTGACCCAGCGCACGGAGATTCAAGTCGGCCCGATTCGGCAGAAGCTGTAGGGTCCCTAAGATCACATAGAAAGCCGGCATCCGAAGGAGCAGCTCTCGGCGCATCCTGCGTGCTCTGTTACGTAGACGCTCCAGCCTGCTCTCCTCATCACGACCTGTATGTCCTCAGCCACGCACCAACTTAGCCACAGAGGCCCAGGTCGCTCTCGTGCGAGGAACCTCCCCAGGCCTCTGCACCCATAAACACGTAACCGTGCCGTCAAGGAGACGGATGGCTTCTCTGTTTTGCACGGCTTGCCTGTAGAGTGGGGGGGGGTACTATGTCGAGTGCCACCCAGGGACAGGAAAGGGGTTCCCACACATTAAAGCTGATAAACTCAGCGTGCCGGGAACACAGCTGGGGGTGGGACGTCGCCGTACTGTGGGGATTCCTCCTTCATCACCTCACTAAAGGGCTCCATCACTGGGGTCACGGGAAGCTGGGAGATAGAGGCACTAGGGACAAGATATTTACCACAGGGCTGGCCTGCGGATCAGCCTGCAGCAGGAGGCTTACAGTCGCGTTATAAGTGGTATAGAAGGTGAGTCTCCCTCTTACCCATATAATTAAAAATTTGAATGTGATGAAAAAACAAAAATTAACCTTGCAACCAATCAGTTAGCTGAAACATTCTTCCAGCGAAGCTCGTTTTTCTTCTTTGTACACTGTCACACACACAATCTGCAAACAGTATTTCAGCAGTAGATAATTTAATAGGCACCTTCCTAAGCACCCACTATCCCCGCCCCAGCCAAAACTGCAGTAAGATGTATGTGTGCCCAATGCGTGAAGCTTGTCATTGGCATAGCATTGCTTGGGGTGGGGGGGGCAGGGGGGGGGGAACAGCCTCACTGCTTCCTGTTCTGCATCCTGTCACGTCAGGTTTGCTTACAAAGGCATCTCTTCTGAATGAATCGTCCGGACACCGCCCCCTACTGGTCTGCACTCAGATCCGCTTTTCCTGCCCATGCTGCCCTCTCCTGCTTTTCAGGGTCCACCTTCCTCCTGCTCTTCTTCCTCCAAGGTCTACTGAATGGCCCTTTGTCTGCAGCGTCCATTTCAGTGTGCTTATGTGGCAGGTATTGTCTCAGTTAGCACTGTGGACTGCTGGGGTCTGTCTGTCACCAGTTCAATACCGAGAGGAACTAGTCCTGCCTTCCTGTTTTCAGTTTATTAAATAAATATTCAACTCCATATCATATCTCTCGCTTATAGTCACCTAGATCGTTTTGCAGGTTAGGACAAAATATTTACCCACTAAACGTTTTCATTTTTCAGGTCTAAAATTAGCTCTGAAATGATGCAACAGTAGTATGCATCTCCCATGTGATTTCCCATCATCCTTTACTACATGACATCATTGCACAGCATATTTTATGGCTGCCTGGAAATCAACCGACAACAGAAACCTAAAGGCCACAAGGAACAAGCCAGATAGCTATAGAAGAAACAAAGTTTAGTATCCCAGTTCAAGCTTCAGGGAGGTCCAGCTGGGCACTTAAATTAGAATGGCTCCATAAAACATCAGGCTGCACACATAAATGTAAGGGGAAAACCGGAAGCGGCTTCACATTAAAAATTCTGAAAAGAGCCTTACCTCCTTCATCCTCTTCTTCACCTTGGCTGTCATGCTCTCCTTTACCTTGTGCTTTTTCTTCTTCTTAGACTCAGTAAGCGGACCATCTTCGGAAAACAGCCGGTCCAGGGTCGCCAAGGGAACCGGCATCACCTCAGCCTCCTCGTCCTCGTCTGGTTGCGGACCAACGCGACATGTCAGTGCACTGGCCGCCCATCCACTCCGGACGGCAAAAATGCCAGGCTGGTAGGGGCTCAGCCAAGCAAACAGGAGACCCACACCAGCAATTTTCAGCAGGGCTGTAACTCATTAGCGATTGCTAAAGCATTTCTTTGCGGTATCCACATGCAAGGTGCCTGTTTGCCAAGTTCCCCTTTAGCATTAGCTACGTCAGGCAGACCAGATAAGGTCCGACATCACGTGCTTTGAAAATGCCTTTTTCATTTCAGTTGGTGAAGCAGCCCCGGATCATTTCTGGAAATGACGAAACCAGCTGCAAAAAATTTTTCCAAAATAAATATATAAATATGCAGAGGAATTGAAATTGAATCATTTCAGAAGCACTGGCTGTCGCCGTGTGGAGCAGCGGCCTATTTCCAGTCCGGGTCTGATTAGCGTGTCGGACGCGGTGCTCGTGGCGGGGCAGGCTCCCTCCAGGCCTCAAACTCCCCCACAGCCGAAGTAGGTCAGGGAGGGACACATGGAGTGGGGGCAACTCCAGACGGTGGAGGAGAAGCCCTGTGCTAACGGCATGCCAGGCAGCCGAGACCGGGGACATGACAGGACCACTCAGCTGAATCCGCTAACAAGCAGCCCAGCAGCCTGTCGTCTTCCCCTGGAGATGGGCGACATTAAGACCCCATTTAACCTGTCTTTAGCTATGCCTGGGGCTTGGGAGTGGGTGGGTGGGGTCTGCTGCTCCACAGTGGCTAAGGGGCCCTAGCGTGGCTGGGGGCTACGCAGGACCCAAACCGCATCTGCGGAGATGCGTGCTGCACCACACTTTTGGGTCCTCCGATGGAAGGGTTTCCCTCTCACCACGCATCAACGTCAGGATTTAGGCTAGAGTGTCTGCAGAGGCTCCACTGGGGGTAATTTCTGCCACGCATGGAAATCACGTCGGCCGCCAGACTCCCCGCGGCCAAGCGTTCGGCAGAAGCCGGTGCCCTTTGAGATGCACGAAACCGCGACCTTTGCTGACCAAAAGCCGTGTTCAATTCACCTCTCGTAAATATTCTGTGCCGCGTTTTACCATGGGAGTTCTTATCCACTCAGCAGCGCTAAACCGCAGCTCTCGATCTGCGAGCACGACACCTCCTTGCGAATTCCCATGGATAAAGCTTTAACTTTGTAATCCTTAGAAGGTTATCTGAGCCGGGGAACCCCCCTCACCTGAAGTGATCGTGGCTGGGACGCGAGCAGGCTTATCTGCAGCCTGCCGGCTGTCTCTACTGCCACGGGCGCGGAAGCCCACCACATATCCACACGCCGGCGAGGTTAACAAGGACACAGCAGAAGAAGAACGTATCTCTTCCTGCCGTGGCTCGTTGGACGATTGCAAGAAGATACATCCCGAGGCCCCTACAGAGTGGACATTGCCCAGCAAACTCACCCCCATGAACCACCCATCGTCCTGGCTGGGCAATCAAAGATGGTAGTGTAGTGCTGACCTTCCTGGAAAAGCCTTAAGATCAGCGCTCTGCATTATGTAGAAGCTTTGTGGCACGGCCCTTCTAGGAAACCCGCTGTTTATGGGAAAACACATTAGCCGTCTGACATATTCCAAATGGAACTGTCAGGTTAATGGTGCTGGGGCTACTTAAGCTAGCCAGCTGGGCAGAATACCACCTTCATCACAGAGAGACGCAAACGCCTGCAAGTGCATGAATACATGCAAGAACAAATGAGAAATGCGGTGTCGCATTTCGCCCCACGATGCCAACTGAAAGAGTAACGCGCTATAATCAGAGGGACAAGATCCAGTGCTCCACGGCAGATGAAAAAGCTTTTGCCTATTAGCTACGTAAAAATAAAACTCAAAATGGAGGGGGCCATGATGCTTTTGTAGCCGTCCTTAGGAAAAGGGTAGCCTAAACAAGAAGAGTCCGCGAAGCGAGAGAGAGCAGGAACCTGAACACAGAGAGGAGCAGAAGCACAACATTTAGAAGGAGAAGGAGCAGGAGAATGACCAAAGTGAAGAAAGGGATGGCAGGAACAGAATCGGGGGCGATGTGGGATCAGGATCGGCGCTTTACGCAGCTTGGGGATGAAGCGGGGAAAGAGCCAGAAACCGAACGTGGAGTTTTGAGTAAAGCCGAGGCTGAATCGAGTGGCGTCTGGACAGATCAGCACCAAAACAGGAAGAGAAAAGTAAACAGAGTGACTGGAGGTTGAGCAAGTTTTAGCTAAGGAACAGGACCAACGTTAAGGCAGAAGCTGAACATCAGGGGCAGAGTCAAGGATAAGTAACAGCAGCGGCGGAAGGGCAGAAGGAGCGCGAGCTGGAGAGGAGGTAACTTAATTCTAATAAGCCCCTGGCACGACACGGTGCCAGGCCCTCGAGCCCGGCACTCCTTAAATTACCCTCCCAGCAACGCTGACTTACTCTCACACATCTCCTTCATGGAAGGCCTCCAAACCACCTCAGGACAAACAAATTCATTTTGTTTCAGCTCAAGAGATCTGAATTTAACGACACTGCAGCTTCGTTTTATTTCATCACAAGTAAAAATGCTGTGGGCGCCAAGGCGTCTCTGAATAAGCCTGCCTCCCCTTTCCTTATTTTCTGCTACCGAGCTGTTCCTCCATAGACATCGTCTGAGCTTTCGGAAACAGCAGACGCAATTTCCAAGCAGAATTCATATATACCTTGATCTCACAGTCCCTGACCTTATACTTCTCCAATTCCATTGTGCATTTTAATTTCCCCCCAAAAAATTTCAATCAAAACAATTCCGTCGGCGCACATAATTCTGCTGTACGTTTTAATTGAACTACAGACGAGGTATGAATTGAATTTGTGTATGTTGGGGTTAAAATTTAAGCCACAGCTACTTGACAAATACACCCGGACTACCGGACTGTTCCGCCAACTCCTACGGAGGAAAGAGGGAAGAAAGGGAGAATCCGAGGGACTGGTGAAACGGGGCAGACAGCAGGAACCCGGGAGGAAAGGAAAAGCGTCTAAATAACCTTGAAAAGAGTGCTGTTGTCTTTTCCAATATGGCCAAACAAAAAAAGCCACGGGAAGCCTAGGTAGGGCTTCGTGCGAAAATGCACTGCAGGTAGTAATATGCGAGAGGCTTATTCCTGGTAATAACTGTCCCATAAATTACGCCTGTATGTCACGTCCAGTGCCCCGGCTCTGTATTACTTAGTTTATACACTATACTCTATTTTCCACCTGCAATAACAGAATGCAAATGGGGCGGGGAGAAATCAATGCCGTTTCCAGCTTGCCCTTGTATTTAATCTAGTATTAATTTAGTCACGGCCAAGAACCGGCTGAAGGGTGGAGCGGGGTGGGGGAACTATGAATGCATTGATTTTATTGACGAAAGTGACACCGCGGTATGGAAGGGGAGGCCGTATTGCGAGACACTTCATCACGGCGCCCCAGCTATGACACAACCAGTGAATCCACAGGGGCCCCAAAGACCACTGGCTGGGAGATTGATGAGCCCGGCCCCGTAGCCTCTGGCAGCGTGCCCCGGTCCGTGTCCCTCCAGGTGGTGATTAACCAGCAGCGTAAATAAAAGCTGAACACGACGCAGCGCTGACGGCCGGGTGGGGGGGGGGGTGTCGGGGGGTGTCTCATACAGTAAGAGCCCAAGGCGTGGGTCTCCTGTCAGCCTTTCAAAACCTTTATTCTCAGAAAGCCGCCGCAAGCCCCGTCGCAGAACCTGCTAGCGTTGCCATTTCTCAGTCTTCGGTTTAGCACTAAGGGTTATTTTTCACGATGGACGTTCACAACAAAGAAAAGACAGTAAGGGAGACTCCCTCAAGGAATCCCCCTTCATCCCCCTTTTTTTGTTATCCCTTGACCATGTAACGGGTAATGGTCCACTGATAGCCCCGCCCACCAACACCTCCATCTCTTGATTGTGATGGCGATTATTATAATTATTATTAGTAGCAGTAGTAGTAGTAATAATAATAATTAGTTGTCTTTGGCCTCTTTTCGGCTTGGGGGTGCTAAAGGCAGCGTCCCTCCCTTTTCTGGACAGCTGGGGATGACGCCTGTTTATTGGCTGAATGTTTTCCTGGGTCACACGTGGCTGCGGTCTTTACCCCATGCGATCAACACTGAACACCTGGAGTCCCAAATAACAGTACATTTAATAATATAACATGAATAAAACGATGAACCGGGACAGAATATTATACCTAAAATATAGTCCCGACCAAGACGGGGTTAAACAACTTAAAACAAAAACATTTTCCGGTTGGTAATGTTTATTTGCCCCCACCCATAAATTACATTATCATGCTTCATTACACAGAAGTGTGACCTAAACGTTATTGTAAATGTAAATACTGGAGAATGCGCAGTGACGTCCTAAATTTCACAGGCCCAACTATAGTGTAATTTAAAAAAAAATACAATTATTATTACTGATAACAGCAAACAAAAATAAACCTCATAGTGGATCAACGAAGAGAAATAACAAGCAGCACCCATTCATATATTTACCTCGTATGTTTTCTCAGTGAAGTAGCTAAATGTATATATTTCACTCACATGGCGAGAAGCAGAATAATTAGGTAACCAAATCAGACATGCAACAAAATGGTGCACCTACTCAGATGCATATATCTGTATACAGACAACGGTCTCCGTAAATAAAACGTAAGATAAAAATTTAACGCAAATAAATAAATTGCTCTATGCAAAGAGTACGTCTCATTCCACTCAACTTCAAAGAAAAAAAAAAGAGGAAAATGATATTCATGTAGCGCCACCTCACAGCTGCATGGCACAGACCGCCGCTACCTTTTTAATACCCAGGCTTTTTGCCACTAACCGCTAAAAGGCGTTTGCGCTACAGAGACCGAGGACAGAATATTACAGGTCACGCGTGCAAGTAAATTAGGCTGAGCCCCCAGGCGTGCTGTCATTATCACCCCCCCCCCTCCCTTAAGTCTACAATATCGCAGGGCAAGCCCTTTTCCCCCCGCATTCGGCGAAGCGTACTTGGCGGTACGGTGCACATCCGAACTACAGAAATCCCATCCACTTTTACGCTCTCACCTGGCATTTCGTCTTCGAAATCCATGTCGTCCTGACCCTCGTCTTCATTACTTAGCGACCCCGGCATCTTTACCGCATACGGCACCTTCACAAAAAAATCACACTCCAGCTATAGTGCAAAGTGCACCGCAAAACTTAACCCCAACGCACTTTGGAAACGTCTACACGAAACGAAATCCGTTCAGCACTGACTGAGACCCTTTTTATTTTATTTATTTATTTTTTTCAAGAAAGATGGCTGCCCTCTTTTTTTAAGGAGCAAAAAAATTCTCTTTCCCCTCTCCCTCTTCTCTGTCCAAATCCTCCAGTCTGAAAATAAAAAAGAGACAAAAATGGAACACACATGCCCAGATTGTGACGTCTGGTCTGTTGCCATGGCGATACATCCCATAATTTCTCCCCTCCCAACACAACTAGTTAGTCATGCCCTCCTGGTTACCAGTTTTACTAGTCGTGCGCTGTGCTGCAAGTGTCCGTGACAGGAGCGGCTATTTCTGGCTTCCCCTCTCCCCCGTTTCGCCTTCAAAGTCCGCACAATACGAGGTTACGCCAGGATACGGCGCAGAACTTCACAAAATCCTGATTGCTCTGCATTTACCCCGGCGAATAAATACGGACGGCAGATCTCTTTTGTGCCACTGCCAGTCCTTGCAGGAGAAAGCCCGTGTCTCCTCTGCATGTGGCGGATCGAGAGCATTAGAAGTGCGTGCTGGCTGCTCCACCTAAGGGCTCAGTGGCCAACAAGGCAGCCTGGTTAGTGAGATACCTGGAGAGTGACCCGAAACGGCCGAAAGACGTGCTAAACGCTGTGGGGGAAAAAACGCACTTCTTGAAACATAGATCTGGTCACAGGAACAAAAAGAGACTCTTTATAAATAATTCCAGTAAGGGGCTTTGTCACGGCATCTTTGCGACCGCGATCGGGGGGAAAGACAAGAGTTTTAAAGATACAGGTGTGAGGCGGACGCGGCATCTTCAGCAAACGCAGAAGTATCGGCGTTGGGGGAATATTTAACCGTTTGTGCGCTGAACAACATCCCTCCATCGTGTATGTAAAAACTGCGTACTCCGTGTGTGTGTGGGGTGGGGTGTCAAATAAATAAAACCAAGACGCTACAAAACCAGCCGGTCCATCCTCTAGGATGGTCGCTATGCACAATACGGACTGAGCGCCCAGGGTGGATTTTGCGGTTGTCAAGGTTACAGATGCTGCAAGAGATGAAGATTAGTAATAGGAGGGGACCGCCATCGGACGGTGTTTTTGTTGTGCTCTCGCACAAGGACGCACCGGTGGATCCGGCATCACACGAGCAAGTTCGCAGCGCGCGGGGAGGCTGCACGGCTGCGCCCCCCCACGCCCCGCCCCCCTGCGACGTCAGTCATTCCGGCCCATTCAGTTCTCCGTGTTTTAACATCCCTGGAGCCTTTGCCACACGAAGAGGAAGCGGCACTGATATTTCACGTGAAAGATTTTAAATCTAATAAAAGTGACAGGCAAACCACAATGACTGAGAATATTTCTGGATGATTACCAAAATATTTTTGATGATGGCTTAACATTGGTCTACAAATAAAACGTGTATACACAGAAAACACCTGCAAATTCAGCACTAATGAAATAGAATAATTTCTCATTAGGGTTCTAATTTACATGTAGACTTAATCAATGGTTAGAGACTAAGCGTATCGTTTCCCTGACACAAGTTTTATCCCAGTAAGATACAATAATGATCCAGACTAGTTGGTTTGTCATCAAGAGGGGTACTTTAATACACGAGGTAACCAAATCAGAAGGCCAGGGTGCTGCACTAAGTTTGCTGGGATCTGCTGTCCAGTTAACAACCAGTCCACAGTGCTGTCTAAATGAAGCTGAAGACACAGACAGACAGATCCGAACTGTTACATTAATTTCACTCGGAAGTCTCAAAACAAAAACAAGGATGATGGTATAGTTTTTTTTTTTATTCAATATACAAAATCAGGAAAATGCACAAGGTTCAGTCCTCATCTTCCTCCTCCTCTTCATCCTGGTTGATTTGGAAGTAGCGCAGCTCATAGCTCTCCTTGGTGTTAGCCACCACGCGGAGCCAGTCTCTTAGGTTGTTCTTCTTCAGATATTTCTTTGTCAGGTACTTCAGGTACCTGAAAAATAAAAACACTTTCTTGACACCAGCCCAGGCCCAAAGTCACCAGAGAAATTAAAGCCCCCTTCTCACTTTCTGTAAACCCAACATCGCACTAGTCAGGTCTTAAAGCAAGGGAGCACAGATCTGGATATCTGCTGCAGTGACACCATGAACAACATAAATGTGACTGATAGTCATAGATTCAGACATTTAGATGTCAACCAAGATGCTGAACAATCACCGGCTTAGGAAAGTGAAAGCAGGGCTCATGGGAGTTTAACTTACATGACCAATGGACCAACCAATCAGGTGTCTTGGTCCCGCCTCCTCTACAATCTGATTGGGCATCTCGCTGAACCAATAATTTTTTTCCTTCTGCCCTTAGAACATTTTTGTGTAAGTAAACCTCTCACAAGCAAAGGCGAGTGGGTTACAGGTTTTGGTGCGTGTGAAACAATGTCAGATGATGGCGAGATTAAATTCCACATGTTTGAAGTTATGAGTTCCAGTCAACTAGCACAGGGAAAATCTGACAGGCATAATACATCTGATTCCCTGAAGTGTATAGGACCAGGTTTGGAAGTGAGGAAGATTGCTGGGCGCTCTGTCAGTTTTTGCTCGGCGACACCAGTGTCATTTGGGGTGGCTGCATGCCCACTGTGACTGGGGCACTCCAATACCCTGCCAGGGAAAGAATGCCCCTCAACCCGCAAGATATTGCTGACAAAGGCACGGTGAGCTTGTATCATTTTGCTGGACTGCAAATGGGAGTTTCTCATTTTTATAATGTGGTTGAACGCATTGTGATCTATGATTCAAATCTGAAGGACTGTTACATTATTTCATTCTGTTCTGAGAAACTTTGTGGTTTTGCGAGAGGCACGACTGAGATCTGTAAAATGTTTGTTTGTGTAGTGAACCCCAATTCCAACAGTGTAATGTCTGCCTGAACCTTTACGGTGATCTCTTTAGGGCAGGGGTGCCCATCCTGCTGCTGCCAGGCACAGTGGTGCGGAGGGGGTATGCAGTCGGCCACACCCACACAACCCGCTTCAGGCTAGCACCACGGCAAAGATGGTCATTTACACCAAAGCTACATCCACAGGGCTATGCAGCTAGACGTCTGCAGATAATCGGGTTGGAGAAAACGGGGATCCCAGATGTTCTGCGCTCCAGCCGTCTTAAGAACACATTCGTTTAACACCCCCACAAAGAAAGAGCTAATCCCACCCGTTACATAAACACAAGGTCTCAGAGTTTCTGTCAGGTGGTGCCTCATAACCTACCAGTTCGCTCAGGGAACCAAATGGACTCCAAAGACACTGCATGACAGAACTAACACAGAGAACTCAGACACAGACCTGGAACCAGACACTGCATCACAGAACTAACACAGAGAGCTCAGACACAGACCTGGAACCTCCACAGAAGCTGCACAATGTTGAGAAATAGATAAGTATATGCACTAGATCCAATAAATATTACAGCAACAAGATTTTCTTTATGAAACATTAGCAAATACAGATTTATACCACATTCAGAATAAGCAATGATATTGGGGGCTAAAAGACCAGTCCTATCTTTTGAGTCTGCTAGAGCAGCTCTTGAAGTTGTCAATCAGGGTAGCTGAGAGATCAAGAAGAAGAGAGACATTTTCCAGACGTGCCTTCACAGTCAGCACACACACGAACAGTAATAACTGACACCTTTATCAACCAATCAGAGCTCTGTTATCCTTCCACACTCCTTACTAAAGGCAGCAGCTCTATAAAGGTGACAGCGAATGGGCCTCTTCGTCGGACAAAACCAACGTCTTCAGGTCGGGAACAGACATCACGTCAGTGGAAAAGTTTACCAGGTAAAGAACAAAAAAAGCGCAGAAAGATATCACAAATGGGGATGGACAAGAATTCCCAAAGCCACAGAATCCACCAACCAGCCCCCCCCCCCCCAAAAAAAAACCTAACATGGACTTAAGAACGCCATGCCTGAAAGCACAGCTACGCTCGGTTAGTCTTGTTAGCCTGCTGAAAAACAGACAGCAAAATCAAAACACTTTTCTCACACCACGGGTCACAGAGGACACCCCCTGAAGGTGACATAAGTGCATTTTTATGCACTGTTACCCCCCCAACCAAAAAAACCAAAGACTTTACATTTGACATGATGGATCATAAATCCTGCATTATAATGCCCCCCACAGCTTAGCCCAACTTAAGCTACCTTTAAACACGACAGCCAAATGAGTACAGCTCACTTTGTACGCGTGCTGCTACACCCAGATCCAGATAAGCATAAAATCCCATCAGGTGAAATTTACACAGCGAGGCACATTGCTAAATGAACGGTATTAATCTGACAGCGTATCACAGGTGACTGCAACTTGCATTAAAGGATATTTCTGCCTTTCCCCATCTGCTGCTTCCCGAGTAAATACAGTTTGAGACTGACAGTGGAGTTTTAGTGACCTACAGCCCAAGGGAAAGGCAGTTTAGTGGACACAGAGCTGCTTGTTTCTGATTTGCTGCATTGGCACCCAAGCAGAAAGCCTCACAGCCAATAGGAAGACAGGTGGATGTAAGCACGACGGTACCAAAAATTAGCATGAAGCATTGGGTCTGTGCAAATGCACAGAGCTTTTGACACATTTTGCACAAGTTGGCCATTATTACCTCTTTCGCCAGGTAATTCAACACGCCTCACCCATGTGCATCCGCACTACCGCCAATGTCCACTATCAGCCGTCTTTAAAGTTCCTCCCCCTTAAAACAAGATATTTTACAGACGCAAATTCCAATCACACGGGAAATACCAGCAGGAACCGCTTACAAGGACTGGAACACATAACCTTCAGGTTATGCGGAATGTCCAAAGAGCAAAACGTCGCTCAGGGTCACAGGAGGCTGATGCGTTTTCTTCGTTTTAGCAGGACCCAGAGGTGGCCAGGCAGCAGCACCTCGCTCTGCAGCTGACAGACAGGCCTGGCTGCTGCGGCCCAGCGGCCCAGCGGCGATACCTGGGGGACGACAGAGCAGCCGCCCCCAAACACCAGCCAGCGCGCAGTTCAGCCCCGCCGCCACCCGCACACCTGATTCTATTAGTCACGCTAATTAACAAAACCTCAATTACAGCACCCAGAAACACTACGGTTAATTATTTACCATATTAACGGCCTGCAGCTCCGAAAGGAACAGAGGATGGAAAAAAACGTGGGTTTGTAGCTTTTTTTAGATGTGGCAAAGCATTGCGATATCAAACTGGGAAATTACAAAACAATGCAAAAAGAGATTTTTATTAAATCCGTAAAAGAGTGATATTCAGATCCTTAACCAGCAAATTATCAACTGACTTAAGACAATATAAAACCCAAACTCTCTGAGTAACTACTCATTTTAACCAAAAAGGTGAAAGAACGAGTTCTATCCCCAGTATGAGCAAAGATTTTTATTAGAACTTAATTTCTATACTCAATCTACAGACTTTAAGGTGTTTTTGAATGTATTACAATGCGACTGCATGCGATTAATTGCAAAAAAAGCAAAAAATAGTTTGCTAGTCTACTTTATTATAATGCTTTTTATTGGTCACAGCATGCTAGCCGAATAGCATGCCCCCCCCATATCGCTTAGCCGTTCTTTGTCCCAAATCGGCACTATAGTACCGGGACTCAACATCCCCGACAAATTGAAACTGCCATGTGAAGTCGGTGCCCCTTCAGTCGTGTAGGGGTTCTATGCTGGCACCGCGGGGCACGAGTTATCCGGCACCGAACCGAACCGGCTACGAGCAAGTGAAATCAGCCGGCAAAAGCCGTCGCCCTGGGCAACCGCCGATAGCATTGAGTGTCTCTGATCGCGTCCACACCACCATGGACATGCAGTGGGGCTGGTAGATCGGCCCAAAAAGACCCATTTTCACACGGCCTGTTTCTGCTCGCACCATCAAAATAGTTCACAAGTGGTGATGGGGGGGAAAAAAACCAGGAAGAATAGATGCATCCACCTGCAGTAAAAGGTCCAAGCAACACCGTAACACACGATTGCCATGGTAACACACTTTACTATAATGGCTGAGGCTGCAACAAATTTACTTACACTCCAGCTCAATTAACTACTACAAATTGTAACAACAACATAAATGACATAGGAACCCCCTCAAAAAGGAAGCCTGGAAGGGACCAAGTGTAACATGAAAAGCACAGAGCTTTGCTACCCAGAAATGAACCTTTAACCGCAAACCGTTCCATTATGATGTTTTTAGGGTGTTTTCATTTCCAGGCAGCGGTCGACATCAACGTTAGAGGGAAAGTAATAACGAAAGGGCAACATTTCAGAGCATTGCAGCTGCAGACTGGCAAACAAGGATTGCTATCAGTCAAAAAACAAGACCCCGGTTTGAGTCTGAAACAATGGTGTATCGATACTGGTTGCACTGGTTGCAGCATTTCCACGTGGATTATATTTCTAGGTGAATCTGTGCCTGACACTTCATCTCTGAAATTCATACATGTTAGTCTCTAAACTTGATGGCACAGCTGCACAAGGTCCTCCTCTTTAAAAACATGCATTGTCGAAAATGCATTTTTTTAGTTATACTGTATAAAAATAAATCTATTACCAAGAAACCAAATGCAAATTTTCATCTGGAAAGGCTATCATCAGTGGACAGGAGTTGAGTTAATTATCTCTGGACCAAACCATATAAAAATTCTAAATTACACACACAAATACCAAAATAAACACATTTTAAACAGAAAACTTGCACAAGGCAGAAGAATTAGGGCATAAAATACAATTTGCCAAATATTAATTGCCACTACAACAAAATCAGATGAAAATCAAGGACCACCTAAAAGTCCATTCACAAACACGACCTGAAAATGAAACGCACTCCGCAATATTAACTCAGGCTGCCAGTTTCAATGATATTAATCGAGTAATCTACAGATCGACTACAACGGTCTAGAGAGAGTAGCTGATAAAACAATAGCAAAGCAGCAACAGCCTCTGCAAGTCAGTCTCCGGGTGGCAATTAAGGGGCAATCGGCGGGAAATTCAGCCCGGGCTAAAATAAAATAATCACGGTTTATCGATAAAGGCGATCCTACTTCGAAGCACAGGATTCAATTCATCGGGATTGTTATGATGTTTTTAAATTTACATTTGTAATGTGCAAATAAACATGTATTGTGTTATTCGGACAGAGACAGACATTACCTTTGGTTTACAAAGGTTCCTAATTGTGCTTGCAGTTTTAATAATTTCAAAACAAGTTGTTTTTCCTGCTTTACCGAAATTGCACCAAATTGCCAACTCAAAACAGGGGTTCGCAGCAAATCATACATTTTGTGTACCGTGACACTCGTAATGTAATATACCCACAGACCTGTACACGTGTCTTTGTGGGGACTCTCCATTCATTACTATGGGCAAAACCTTAACCCAAACAATGACGACCTTAACCCCTACTCAGCCCTAACCGTAAACATAAATAACCAAACAAAATACAAAACTTTTGGCATTTTTAGCTTTTTGATTGCAGTCACAGATTGAACTGATGACAGATGAAATAACAGGTTTTTATCACATAGTGGGGACAATGTAATGTATACCTGGACCATAAACACACACAGACTAAATATAACATATTCTGAAGCAATGAGCACGAGGCAGTAACCATCGCAGGACGTACACTCAAACACATGGTTTATTTAGACCAGGGGTTGGTAACCTGTAACTCACGGTTGCCACACGTGACTCTTTGACAACGTGACTCTTCTCAGAACGACAGACGCATTCACATTTTCATGTCTAAAAATATTACGATAATACTTTCATGAAGATAAATTATTTAAGGTTTATTATTTTTCATTTAGATATTTCTGTAGCTAAATGTGAATGAGGCGGTCCATCAAGCGCTTCTGTGATGTCTTTACTGCATCAGTTACATCTTCCTCTGAGTCATTCTCTACGACGAGATAACATCTGCAGTCAAATGGTATGCTTTCCGGAGTCTTCTTCAGTACTGGAGACGTACGATTCAACATTTATTGGAATTCCTCATTCTTTCATATATTTTTTGTAGTAAATCATCACCACTCCTTCGCAGGTCTTTGTAAAAATGATCACATTTTCTCTGATTTACATATTATAATGAGCTGAGTTCGGAGCAGTGAGGACGTTTTGCACTGCTTGTTCAGCGCATTTACGGTAGCGAAGTGGAGAGTGAAGGGAAGACGACTGCAGAGCCAAACGAACTTCACTCAAGAAGGTGTGAGGGTGAAGGCTATCACTACAGAACTGAACGATATTGGAATATTAATCACCTTCACTCTGTTATGAGTCAGAGTGATTTAAAACTGAGATGCCCCCCTCCAAAATTGTTTTTCTTTATACTGCAAATTAAGTACATAATTAGCATATAAAGGTGAAACTACACATAAAATAAGTACACATTTGCACTGTTACAATATTCGATTGGCCCAGGTAAAATAAGCCAATAAAAACAGAACCAAGAAGGGAAAAAAATAAGGATCTGCAGCTAACGCTGCTTGTACCCCAGAAAATAGAACCTTTCAATACTCGATAAATCATTCAGCCCCATGTAAGATGATGCGGCGAAGCAAAGGGCCTCACCATTTTAGCGGTGATTATCTTACGATAGAGGAACCGTAAAAAGTAAATTAAGCTAATTTAAGTCAAAGGGATGACAAAGGCAGGCTAGGTTACTCCAGCAGGCTAAAGGGTGCATAGCTTATCTACGGCTAATTTCACATTATTGGGTGAATCCGTCAAGCCTGGATGTCGACTTAGGGTGTAGCAGGTCGCATCGCAGTCATGCTGTTGTGATATTTATGTTCTGCTTCGCAGTATGAACAGACAACTGCATTTTAATTCACTTTTAATATGAAATGCTCCCACACAACTAAGGATTTTGCTCTTTTTATTGGACCCTGATGTGACATGCCCCATCTTCTGTCCAGCATATTGCTAAATAATGTTGGCGGCAAATTTTAATTGCTGCTTTTTAAAAATCTATTATTTATGTTTAATTTAGTTTGTTGTGGGGGGGGGGTTCATAAAAGGAACCATGTAGGTGACGTAACCTCATTCGGATCTGTTATGCATCAGGAACAGTGTTTCCCAATCCGGTCCTCAGGAACCTGAAGTCAGTTCACGTTTTTGCACCCTCCCAGCTCCAGGTAGCAGCAAAAATGTGGACTGACTAGCAGGGAGCTGGGAGGGAGCAAAAAAACGGACCGTCTGTGGGTCCCCGAGGACCGGATTGGGAAACACTGCATTAGGATTAAAGGGACTGACATACAGTCCGCCAGGAAATGACATCAATCACTTGCACAGCACTTTCTCTGACCATGTTGTTTGTGGAGTGCAGGACTCACCATGCCAGAAACACACATAAATACACGACTCAAGATCCAAACACAGAACCAAATCTAAGGGGTTTATAAGGGATTGCTGGGTGTCCTGCAGTGGTGTGATCAAAAACTCCAGCAGCAATCAAAAACAGCCTTACCTTTTTGAGAATGGCACCTCAGAGGTCACGCAGATCTTGCTCTTGCTCCTCTCAATGGTCACCACGCCCCCGCCGAGGTTCCCTGCCTTCCCGTTCACCTTGATGCGCTCCTGTAGGAACTGCTCCTACAGCGAGATGATTAGGGGACAGCCACCTGGAAGTCACTCACAGCTCTAACACAAACCATCAAAATGTGCCATCCGACACTCTTGTGACATCTACACACTGCAAGTGTTCTAATAATTAAAAAAAAAAGAACACGACAGAACATCTGCATATGGAACTGGATGTTATACCCGTCCATCCAAACGTATTCTCTACATTCATATAGACAATCAACCAGCAGCCACAGGCAGTCAAACGGACTTCATACGTACAAAGTTAGCAGCGTCCATAATCCCATCCTCCACTGGATGTGTGCAGTCTAAGGTGAACTTAAGGACCTGTTTCTTCTTCTTGCCACCCTTGGCACTCTGTTTTTTCTAAAGAGATAAGAAAAGGAAGCGAATCAGACATGTTGCCGTGATGGAGCTTACTTGAGGTTGCATCTGACCACAAGACACATACAACAGATCCAACTTACTCATCGGAATGCTTCAGAAGAAAACCCACACATGGGGACTGAAAGCAAATTCCTACCTTATACAGCACACATAAACCACCACAATGGCAATTTGTAGAAAATACAAAATCCACATCACAATACAAAACTATTATCACAGATGTACTTAATAGCGCGGCCACTGAAGGCTAATTCGTTTGTTACTCAACATGCCTCTCCATCTCCACTTAAAAACAGCAGTAAGAAATGCTCTACTGTACATAAGGAATGTCAAAAATCGGGACATAACCAGTGCTTCGTCATTAGGCATTACAACGCATAACCAGCTGGTTGAACCCTACCGGTGTGAAACCTGACTTGCCCCAAAGCGCCCAATCCCAGACAAGTCAGCCGTTCAAACACTTTCCAGTTTAGTTAAACATTTATGAGGCAAACGAAAACTAAATTCACGGAGTAGCAAATACATGTACACGACCTATTCTGACCATGTGGTTTATGAAAAGCAGGCCTCGATAGGACAGAAACGCGTCTAAATACACGCGACTCACGATCCAAACATGGAACTAAATCCGAACCCATGATCTACGGTATGCTAAGCGGTTCCAGTATCTTCTGGAGCCCGTATCCACGGGAAAATAACAAAATACAACGTTTTCAGAAAGACTATTCAACTCACCACCGGAGCCATGATGAACAGAGACAGAAGAGAGAGGGATACTACGGAGCATGCGCGTTAGCGATGCCTTACCGAATCGAGTGCCGAGGTCATCGATGCAATCGCTCAACTTGGATTTGATTAACATGGTTTGACTGAGTGGCGGTGTTGTTATATTAATTCTAATGCGTTGTTACTGTAATATTGGCTGTGTCAATATCATGATTATTTTTCCCATTATTAAGCGCCGTGCTGAAAATATACTTCCGGCTAATCTATATTATTATCATAAATCTAAAATTGGCTACATCAAAACCATTAGGGTAGTTTGCAAACCCTGCAGACTATTTACAAGGTAATACAACTCATAGATACATAAATGTGTGTGCAGACATTTCTCGAATTGAAAATATCACACCAACCAGCTGACCAAAGTTGCCAACTCGATGGCTGTCCCCAAAGGAGTAGCGATAGTACAGCCACCCGATGATGTCTAAGGGTACAGCTCGTTATTCTTGTTCAGATATTTACAATTTATTTAACCATAGACAGGGGAAGGGCCTCTGAAGATTAAAAAAAAGGTTTTGTGCTTTGTATTAACACATATAATTAAGCCTTTTGTTAATAAAATAATATCAGGTTTGCAACCTGCAACAAAAGTTGAGCAGTCTGTGCATTTAGGCTTTTGATAACTGAATCCTTTCCATAGCAAGCATGATCACAGATGTAACGTCACCACACCAAATCACTTGACATTTTGTAAGTGCAGGTCAGTGAAACACTTGTGAGTGAAGTTCCACAACAACAGCAGCAGCAGTGAAGATATAGTGCAAATAAAACAATAGTGCAAGAAGGAAGTATGTATAACAAAAAAAGTCAATTTAAGATGTGCATTGACAATGCAATTAGGGCTTCTTACAAAAAATGTCGCCACCGCTGTGGTCACAGCTTTTCATTAAGTGCCTTTGTGTAAAAGTGATTTTTTTTGTGCATTGCACTTGAGATCTGAAGAAGCCTGGGAGGTCTCCATTGCAATGCGCTACATTTATTTTAAGAGTTTAATTAGTTAGTATTTTATTCATTTGACATCCTTTTTGTTTTGAAATATACAATGGTTTGTTTTGAAATACAGAAACACACGAGAATCTAATGTTGAATAATATTTAATAGAACTACAATAGAAAATGAAAAGAAAAGCCTAACTGTCACTGTTCACATCTTGACAGCCAGCTCCAGGACCCCAGGGATGATCCATGGTATTTTCTGGAAAGAAGATCTCATCTTTGGAGGGTTTGCACGTCTTGGTAGTGGGGGTACCCTCATCATCACCCTGCGGACAGAGAGCTTTTCTTCCATTGCTGGTTGTTATAGCTGTGAGCTGCACTCAAGTACTGATATTTAATTTTTTTACAATAGTAATACAGCCAGTATCTTTTGTCAAGAGACCTGACATGGCAGTTGGACAGGTAGTAAGAGTACGGCAGGTAATTATGCATTTTTTTGGAAACAACACTGCACATGAACAGGGATGTTGGACCCATATCCAACTGAGACGAGGGGGCTGTAGGTTGAACTGGAACCAGTTACATAGGGGTGGGATGAACCATGGCTGGAATTCCAGGTGAAATTGGAGCAGGGCCATATGCAGAGACGGAGAAAGGGATGAGGACAGACAAGGAGATGGGCACACGGGAGAGTCCATGAACAGAGATGGAGTAGGTGATGACAAGTGAGGATGGAGCAGGAGATGGGAATAAAAATGAAATGCATGGAAAGGTAGAATCTGCTGAACAGCATTCAAGCTGTAATGGAGCTGGATCTCAATGCGGGACGTTAGAGATTCACGCACGTTCAATTTTCTCCCACGTCCTGACAGATCTTGTGTTGTGCTGCCATCACATCCTGCGCCCTGCTGACCAGGGCAGATTACCAGCAGGACGGGAACGGACAGTGTAGAAGCGGACCTGTTCTGCGGATCGGAAGCTGGCCCAGTGCAGCATTGCTTCAGATGACCTCCCTTGCTGGATATGGTTGATCCTTTAGGATTATAAAGACAGGGACAGCACATTTAAGTGAATTGAATCCTTGTTATTGTACATTACATATAGAATTACAATAAATAAGTGAAAAGCAAGCAGAAAAATAAAGCAAGTGTAAAACTATAGCAAATAAAATAGAAATATACAAGATAAAAATATAAAATGAGACATTAGTGTTCATCTGATGGTAGTTAGTGATAGATATCGTGTGCAGAACCGAACACCTTAGCATTCAACGCACCACTAAACCTGGCCAAAGGGTCATGGGGGGGAGCCCTTACATCGGTGCAGGCCTGCTTCAGCTGCTTCCCGCAGGGAGACGACTCAGATCACTCCCCACAAAACACTCCAAGAACAGCTTCACCTCCAGTGCTATCAGAATCCTAAACAGTAACCCCTGCTGGTGATCAAACGACAATGTAACATTTGCACTATTTGCACGTTATAATAGCATTTGCATGTGATCCATCACAACGTACACAGAGATACACAATAAGTAAAGTGTACAGACCTATATTAATATGGAGTGAAAACGCAACCTACACAGAGCTAGGGAGGGTATAGAATCCTTCACCATTAAAGAAGGGGGGGGGGGGCGAGCGCTATATCCCCTGAGGCTTTCCACCACCCTGAAGTGAAACAAAGCAATAACTTTGTAGCAACATTATTTTCTCTTTTTATATGTCATGATCATATCTATTATGATACTGTATTATAAAATTGCACACTTTTATTGGCATGATTTTTTTGACAAAATACAGAAAAATAATTGCCGAAATTTGTTCATGTTGTTATTTCATTAAATAATGTACAATACAGTAGCACAGTCTAAACTGAGGTCCATTTGCAATTATCATAGAATTGCTATTGAACATACCCAGTCATAGATGATATAGAAACTAACCAATGAGCAAAAAAGCTTTCTGATAAAACTGGAGTGTTCTGTCTGTATGAGAGTTGTTGCAAAGTTCCCCTTCATATTCCCCTTTGTTTTATAAGGTTTTAAATATTTCTGACAATTACATTATGCACTGTTTCTCATCTGTTTCTGGTAATGCCATTCAAACTGGTTTCAGTCCTGCCAGTTTCGTTTTTAGCAGAGTAGCAGGCTGACTGTGATATGCAATTGCAGCACTGTTTCAGAAGCAGGACGTCTCTGAGCGGTGTCCTCCGCATAGACCTGTCCACGCTCCGCTGTCTTTAAGCAGGCAGAGGGTATTGTATGTGTTATATGTAGAGATGTGTGTTGTCTGAATTGTAAAAGTGTCAACTGTTAAAGCTGGACCATTTAAATTTGCACAAACATGTTATGGCAGAGAAAGGCTGATCCACAGTGAGGATGGGTGACAAGGGGTTTTACTGGGAACTGAAAGCAGGGGAAAACAGAAAGAAAGGGCATCATGCGAGATGAAAACAGGGCAGGAAGGTAAAATAACCAAAAGGCAAAACTACGTGTAAGAAAAGTAAAGGGAACACAGACAAACATCTACAACAATACAACAAAACTATTAGCCAGTGACACATACGGAAAAGACGCAGGAGTCAAACACAATGACCAGTTGCGGAAAAGAGCAAGGGACAGGAATTTAAAGACAGATGACAAGGTCATGATGAGGGACAGATGTGGGGCGTTACTAATTACATACTGGAAACAGGTCAGAGTAAGTGACAAATACTAATAGCTCAATCACTAGGGGATACCAGAAACATGGATACAGACTTTACTTCAAAACTAGAAACATACAATCAGGGACAACTAAAGATACAAAACAGGGACCCAAACAAATATAACATCACATGAGTAACAAGACCTGCACGACAAAAACCAGGGGAGAAGAACACAAAATATCCAACATGGTCTCCAGCCAACATCCAAACCCACAGCAGAGCAGTTGATTGGGTCAGAGCCATCTACTTAGACCGTCTAACCACGGGCCAGCCTAGGGAGTAGGGGGACATACTAGGACCTGTGAAGGGTGCTAAACCTGAGGAAATCACTAAGGGAACACAGAATGGGATGGCCAGCGACACCTGCTGGCCAAACAGGGAAATGAATGGCGGTACAGGGCAGGGGCTGATCTGAGACAAACCACTATGTTTATCACATACTTGTGTGTACGCCTCTCTTATATGTTATAAAGATTCTGAGTCTAAAAACCCCAAATTGGCATAGTTCCAAAGAAATTACTTCTTCACATTGTTTTCCATATCAGCCAAGGAGTTCTCCAGCACTGTGTCAGTGTTATAGTGAGTCTAATGGTTGCATCAGACAACTTCCTTTCTCACACTTTGCTCATTTTGGTAGGACAGTCTTATTTTGGCAGGGTCTGGATTGTCCCATTTCGTTACAATGAAAATAGCTGTGCTTCTGGGGCAGTATTATCAGAATCTTTTGAAAACTTCTTTTACACTCATTTTAACAGCCACCTGCCAGTACTTTGTTTCTCACGGCAGCAAAAGTGGACTGATCTGTAGCGTGACCACACAAGCTCTGATATATTTATTCTTTATTCATGCAATACAAGAAAAACATCTGTCAAATACTTTTCGAGTCATCACAGTAACAAGTTCAAGTGTCTGAGGCTGTCCTTCTCTTTGAGATTACTGTGCAGCACTGCTTAAATCTCAGTGAGATTTGTCTCAAAATTTGATCACTTCCAGACCTTCCACATCATAAATGTGTCTCCAAAATTTGAAAAAGGGCAACTTGTCTCAAAATAAAATCAGGTGTAGATCTTCATCCATACAATGTTTTTGGGAAGTAGTAATAATATCCATCAAATACTTTTTGACTTATTACATTCAAATGGCATCTGCAGTCACCCTTCCCTTTGCTGCCACTAAGCAGCATGTTTAAGTCTCAAAATTTGATCAGTTCCAGTTCAGCCCCCATACATTGTCAGCAAAGTTGGAAAAAGATCCTTCAAATACTTTTTGAGTTATTGCTCTAATAAAATCAAGTGTCAAAATCTTGTTTTGCTATCAGTATGTGGTGCTGCATCTAGTTTAGGGCGATCTGTCTCAAAATTTAAACTCCAGGTCGTCACCCACACAATGCGAATTTTAAA